ACTCTTGTCTCTACTAAAAATACAAAAAGTTAGCTGGACATGGTAGCATGTGCCTGTAGTCCTAGTTACTCAGGAGACTGAGGCAGGAGAATTGCCTGAACCTGGGAGGCAGAGGTTGCAGTGAGCCAAGATCACACAACTGCACTCCAGCCTGAGCAAGATAGTGAGACTCTATCTCAAAAAAAAAAAAAAAAAAAAAAAAAAAAAAATTATAATAATTCTTTGGTTGGGTGCAGTGACTCATGCCTGTAACGCTAGCACTTGGGGAGGCCGAGGTGGAAGGATTACTTGAGCTCATGAAATCAAGACCAGCCCGGGAACATAGTGATATCTCATTTCTCTCAAAAAAAAAAAAAAAAAAAAAAAGTAGCCGGGCACACCTGAAATCTCAGCTACTCAGGAGACTGAGGTGGGAGGATCACTTGAGGTTGAGACTGCAATGAGCTACGACTGTACCACTGCACCCCAGCCTGGGCAACAGAACAAGATCCTGTCCCCACTCCCCAACCAAATAATTCTTTTCCATCTCCAACACTGGTTAGTTCTGCTACCTTTTCCCTTGATCATTTTCACCAAGGATTTACCAATTATTTTTTCAAAAAGCAATTCTCGTGCCTCAGCCTCCCGAGTAGCTGGGACTACAGGTGTGCGCCACCACGCCTGGGTAATTTTTTGGTAGAGATGGGGTTTCACCATGTTGCCTAGGCTGGTCTGGAACTCCTGATCTCAGGTGATCCACCTGCCTCGGCCTCCCAAAGTGCTGGGATTACAGGCATGAGCCACCATGCCTGGCCAAAGAACCTACTTATTGTTTAATATTTTGTAAGTTATATATTCTTATTAATTTCTACTGTTCCATTACTTTAACTTGCTGTTCTTATTCTACTTTCTTGAGAGTGCTTAATTTTTAACCTTTCTTCTTTTCTAATATATACACTTAAGGCTATAAACTTCCCTTTAAGTATGGCCTTAGTCATATCCAAAAGGTTCTGATATTCATATTTTCATTTCAATTCAGTTCAAAATAATTTCAGTTTTCCACTGGATTTGGACGTACATTTCTTCCAAATTTCATAATTTGTATTTAGTTCTGCTGTAATCAGACTGCCTTCTCTATATGATTTAAGCCCTCTGAAATTTAATACTAAGTTTCTTTACGGCCTAACATTTATTCAACTTTAATAAATGATTCACGTTAATCTGTAAATAATATATATTTTGCAGTTATTGATACAGTGTTCTATATAGGTCCATTAGATAAAGTTTGTTCACTATGTTGTTCCAATCTCCTGTCTCCTTACTGATTTGGTGGGAAGGGGTGTGTGTGTGTGTGAGCTTCTATTATTTACTGAGACAGCTGTATTAAAATATTACATATAGACTTCTACTCTTGGTCAAGATGGAATACCTGTCACTCTATCCTCCTGCCTGAAGCAACTAAAAAAAACCTAAATGTATCTAAAACTATGTCACTTAAGACATGGGCCATCAGGCACTGAAGAACAGTTAACTGCTGACCGAACATGAAACAAAAAGAGGTAAGCCCTGCCACTGCCCGAGAATTTATTTCCTGAAGAACATTTCTAGGCCATAATGCAAGGGAGGGGAAACCCAGGCCAGAGTCCACCAATTTTTCCAGATTTTAAGAGACAGAGGCGAGAGTCAGGGAGGCTAAAGTGGCTACAGTTCAACCTTTCATAAACTCTCCGAGGAATAGACAAAGAGGAAACAACTTCCAGCTCTTTCCACGAGGACATTTTTACATTAACACCAAAATCTGACAAGGGTATGAAAAGAAAGGAAAATTATACACCACCTCTCTCTTGAATACAGATGCAAAAATTCTAAATGAAATATTGCGGCTGGGCATGGTGGTTCATGCCTGTAATCCCAGCACTTTGGGAGGCCGAGGTGGGCAGATCACAAGGTCAGGAGATGGAGACCATCCTGGCTAACACGGTGAAACCGTGTCTCTACTAAAAATACCAAAAATTCACCGGGCGTGGTGGCAGGCGCCTGTAGTCCCAGCTACACAGGAGGCTGAGGCAGGAGAATGGTGTGAACCTGGGAGGCGGAGCTTGCAGTGAGCTGAGATCGTGCCACTGCACTCAGCCTGGGCAACAGAGCAAGACTCCACCTCAAAAAAGAAAAAAAAAAGAAATATTGCAAAATAAATCCAGAGATACACAGAAATAATAACATGACTAAGTGGGAAGTTTATTCTAATAAAATGAATGGTGAAGTAGGAGGGTAGGGGTAGACAGGGAGGGAGGAACACTAGGAAATACATTATTAATTCACTAGACTAACAGGTAAAAGAAAAATAATTTGATCATCTCAACAGATTCAAGAAAAGCATTTGACATAATTCAACACCATATACTTTCTTAGCAAGGTATAAATAAAACTTCCTTACACTCATAAATACCACCAAAATCCTACAGCAATCAGCATGCTTGATGGTGACATCCGAATGCGTTCTCGCTGAGATCAGGAACAAAGAAAGGAATTACATACTGACCACTTTTTGAGACAGGGTCTCACTGTATCACCCAGGCTACAGTGCAGTGGTGTGATCACAGCTCAACCTCCTAGGCTCAAGTGATCCTTCTACCACCTCAGCCTTCCAAGTAGCTGGGACCACAGCTGCACACCAGCACGCTCAGCTAATTTTTTGTAGAGATGGGGTTTCACCATGTTGTCCAGGATGGTCTCGAACTCCTGGGCTCAAATAGTCCTCTCACCTCGGCCTCCCAAAGTGCTGGGATTACAGGTGTGAGCCACTGCATCTGGCCCATTCTGACCACTTCTATTCAACACCATACTGGGCATTTTGGCCAGTGCAATAAGACAAGAAAAGAAAGAAAATGCAAAATGACTAGAAATAAATAAGTTATTATGAACAGATGATAGGAGCATGCAGAAAATTCCAAGAGAACCTATAAATTGTTAGCATTAATAAATGAACTGAGCAAGGGTGCTAGATATAAGGTCATTATAAAAATCAAAAGTATTTCAATACTGTAGCAACAAACAGCAAACAATTACAGACCTGAACAGACCACAAAATGGTCCAAATGGTCAATAAGTATTTGAAAAGATGCTTGGCATTATTAGTCACTATTAAAATTTAAACCACAAGATACCAGTATATACTTACCAGAATGTCTGAAATGAGAGTAATAATAGGTTGTCCAGGCTTCTCCAGACGCAGCCTCTGGGAGAGCCAGTTCTCATCTATCAAGCGCTTCTTGGGGGTGGGAGGGGTTAAAGGAAGTGTATTTCTGGACCACCACATCCTTAACTGCAGAGACTGGATCTCTGACATCAGACATATATAGTAACTTGCATTTGTTTCCTCAAGTTGCTATAACAGATTACAACAAGTTGGGTGGCTTAAGACAACAGAAATTCATCATCTCACCGTTTTGGAGGCCAGAAATCCAAAATCAAGGTGTTGGCAGGGCACCATTTCCTCTAGAGGCTCTAGGTGAGAAACCCTTCCTTGCCTCTTCTAGCTCCTGGTAGCTGTCAACATTACTTGACTTGTGGCTACATCTCTCTCTGCCATCTTCATGTTGCCTTCTTCTGGTATCTTCCTTTCTCTCTTACAAGGACCACTTGTGATGGCATTTAGGCCCCACTCATAATCTAATTTCTAAATGCTTAATTACATCTGCAGAGACCATTTTTCCAAATAAAGCAATATTTACAAATTCTCCAGGGATTAGGGCTTGATATTTGGGGGGTGTGTGTGTACATATATAGACATCTATAATTTTTTTTTTCAGACAGAGTGTCGCCCTTGTCGCCCAGGCTGGAGTGCAATGGTGCGGTCTCAGTTCACTGCAACCTCCGCCTCCTGGGTTCAAGCAATTCTCCTACCTCAGCCTCCAAAGTAGCTGGGATTACATGACCCCGCCACCACGTTTTTTGTAATTTTTGTATTTTTAGTACAGACAAGGTTTCACCATGTTGACCAGGCCGGTCCTGAACTCCTGACCTCGTGATCCGCCCACCTTGGCCTCCCAAAGTGCTGCGATAACAGGCGTGAGACACCAGGCCCGGTGGAGAAATATATTTTCTAAATAAAGAAATAAACTAGTGAGACCGTGGAGAGACGGTCAGGGGGACAGAATGGCCTGGGAAAACCTGGTGTGTGACGAGGGGGTGAACTGGAAGAAGGCAGAAGTCTTAGCTATAATGGGAGTAAATTCTCTGGGTACCAAGGGAAAACTGTGAGGAGATTTTAAAAAAGGAGCTGAAGTAGAATTACCTTCTTTGCCAGGGTCCTGGGATGTAATCCCACAAAAGAAGTGGCTATATTTACATACACTGCCCAAAAGAGGGGGCAATAGGCATGCTTTCGTAGACCCAGCTAGCTGCCCATTTGAAATCTATTCTTTTCCTTCTTCACTGAAAAGAATCCTAAATTTGTTAGGAACATCAATTGCTCAGATAAAACAGATAATTTCCAAGGCACCCTTGGAGCTACCAGCTATGCAACACAGGTCTAACTAATGGGATATAAATACAAACATGCAAGTGGAGCTTCTGGAAACTACTGTTTTGTTCTCTTTGCATAGAAAGAGACATATATTTGCATCTTTTCCCCTAAGCCTATCCTTTTCAGGCCCCCCACTTCTGCCATCCTTGACAGCATCGTGGAGTTACAGTATCAGCCCTGGACAGTTTGCCTGTAGACTTTTCTACTGTAAGAAGAAAAACAGACAGACAATAATAACAAAAAAACAAGCTCCAATTGAGTTTATGCCACTGTTACTTGGTTTGCCATCAAACACAATTTTTTTAACCTAAACAATAGCTACGGTGTTTCACAGATTTGACATAACCAACAACAAATGGACCACTCCAATTTTTCTGGATACTTAAAAAATAAGGCCTTCACACCAACACAGGTCCCAGATTGGCACTCTTGAATGACTAAGTTTGTAATTATTTCAAAGGTTCCATACATTTATAATCAAGTACAGAGAAGATTAATGTAGATTCTTTATTGATTCCACCAATGTATTAGTAGTATCTGATAATAATAAATGGTATTTTTACATTCTCTTAACCAAAAATATAACAAATATTTACACTCAGTAAAAATACAAAAAGCATACAGAGGCACTGTCTTTCTAAAAGACATAAGTTTAAGAGGTATCAAAAAATAGGAAACAAACATTGCTTGTTACAGGATACCTTACAATCAATGAATTGTGCAGCAAAATTGCTATCTGATTATTACAGATGTGCAGTTTTGTTTTTGTCTTTTGCTGATTAGCTTACATGTCTCAATTTTAAAAGATCAAGTTCAACTGCATTCCGTGTATCAAAAACAAAGAAGCATTAAAAATGCACAACAAAAGCCAAAGATGAACCAGGATTTAAGTTTAAATTTGAACATGTACTGTGACACTTTTCTGAAGATTTATGCCGTTTTTCTAGCCTTCAAGGTAATGCTAAAGGCATACATACACTTTAACATTACCTTTTGTAGAAACTTAAAATTGAATCAAAATAATCATTGTTTTAAGGAAGCTTCTTCTCCTCCTCCCTTTTTTTTGTAGAGGAAAGAGCACTTGATAAAAATTGGATTTGTTCTTAAAAACACCCATGATTATCATCACATTTTCAGCCTGGGAGAGATTCTCGAGGAGGTGATGTAGATCGCAATGATGTGACTTATCACCCTCAAGAAAATTCACTAAAGGCTTTTTCTCCCCAAAGATCATATTGAAAGTAATCATTTGGAGTAAATGAGAATTATTAACTTTAATAAGCTTTTATGGAATCATGTACTGGATTTACTAATTCTCAAAATCTTTCACTAGAAAGGTATTTTGTTGAAACTTACTATTTGGCAAAAGTTTGCATTGAGGGTTAACTGCTTCAACAGTCTTGGCAGATTAAGAGTTGTCGTGGGAAGAGAGGGCACTAGTCTCTTCATTAAAATTATAAATTAATAAAACAAAAATGAATGGAGATCTGGAATTAGAGTAAATGCAGGTTAAGGCTTCTCTTGTTCTAGTCATATGACAAACTAAGAGAAGGCAGGAATGTACCCTTAGTTAAAATAGAAAAATCAAAACCTCATGATTTTTTAAGGGATACATACATAACAAACTACAAAGCATTTGGCTTTGGCTCCTGATCAATGTGATCATCTGATCTGAACACTCACAGTTAAAGCTAGATAGATAAAACAAAGGCAGCTATAAGGTACAAGTCCAAAACCATAGGCCTCAACACTCTGTGCAAGATATTTACACTATTAAGGACAAAGACAGGTAAGGCTTCCATTTGGTTTGAAAGACCTGATAAATAAAGACATTATGAAAACACACATTTTTCTGGAGAAATAAATATAAAATGATGAGAGTAGACATCTGAATTGATAAAAAAGTGGGTATAGCAAAAATATATTTCACATTGTTTTGCCGTGGCCATGAAAACAAAATTATGTAAATCAGTGAAGGAAAAAAAGTATAATCAGAGGACCACTGTTTATAGGCCAAATCACTGAAGTGTAACTTTCAAACTAGGATTTTTGGTTCAGGTTATTTCCCACTTCAAAGGACCAAGAAAGCTATGGTACCACCAAGCCTCATTTTATCATACCTGGGATTAACTTCTAAGGCTTCAGTTTCAGATTAATGTTTTTTTACCACAGGAATTTTTCAGACATGCTATTATTCCTAAAATAAAGAGACAATCATTTTGATGGGAAAGATGAACTACTACCATTTACCCCTTAAAACTGATACATGATTTTAAAATGAAGGGGGATAGGCAGGAAGACACAGCGGAGACAGCTAGGGAAAGACAACACATTTCTACAAGGGAGGCCACAAACCAACTAAACTCTACGTGGGACACATACGGACAGCCATTCAGAAGTAAACCCATCTTGGCTGCAAGTTGATCTGGGTAGTGCATGTTAATGGCTTTGGCTTTTTTTTTTTTTTTTTTGGTAATTACAGAAGTTTATTAAAATTCCACTTGCTTTTACACTAAAAAAATTGAAAAAATTAAACTTAATATATATAAAACATTATATTTGCAAAAATGTGAAAAATCTGCCTCATCCAGTAAACAGTCACTGAAATTTTAATTAAGAGTGCCATGCCCATGAGGCTGGAAAAGTATGTCCTCTCAAGGGCTAAAAACTGAGAACCAAGAGACAATCATTTCTATAACTCCAGCTCCTCTTTCTCCCACAAAATTTTGCTGCAGGCAGCTGAGAGCTGCAGGGTATGTCAGGTCAGACACAACCTGGTGCTATGAGATGTGGGGGTGGCATGCTGCAGAACACTGCATAAAGTCAACTTCATCCTCATGATTACAACACCCATGATAAGAATTTCTTTAAAAAAAGTATTCCATACTTGAGTTATGAGAGATTTTAGTTTTGGATTTCTATAGAACAGGACTCTCTAGAACCCATTCTCTATTTGTGGGATCTATACTTTTAGTTACAATTCGATGCAGCATAACTTTCACTTAAGAAAGAATTTGTATACATGTCATTTAACATCAAAATTTCATTCTTTGGAAATTAGGGTTCCCACCCTCCTCCCCAAACTACTCCCTCCCATTTCCCAAAGGACTGACAAGAAACCCTGTGGCAGCTTCATTTGGCTTTCCACACCATGACCAGCAGGTTCCTAACACCTCAACTGCAAAGGGCTTCCTATTTCTCTCAAACTGAGACCTACATTGCATTGGTGCTACAGATCATGTCACATCTCTGTGTAGATCAAGCATATCACCTCTGTAAAGATGACTTCTGTTTGGTCAGATCAGAGACAATTTTATGACCTCAAACATGAACATCAGCTAACAAGAGCTCTCAAATACAAACAAAACCACAATAATGCAAATAATAAGTTATTATTCAAATATACAAGAATATCCTTGGTATTGGCAGATACTTTCAATCTGTCCTTCAGCCCAAGCTATGGCTTGGAAATAATAATGCCACTATCTTTAAAATAGCTTATGAAAGAAAAATCTATAGCAATATACAGAAGGATCACTCTGAGTTTAAATTTTTTCTGTAACTGTGGTCCCAAGGCAGTTCTGGCGTGCAAAGTGGAGACTGGTATCCAGGCATAGCATCCATTGCTCAGGAAACTATTCATCTGCAGAAAGTAAATGAAAGGAAGCATAACTCAAGTCTATTTCATTGCTCGGAGTAGAGGGAATAAAACCTCTGGACTGGTTGTAGCAATGAACTGTTTGTCAGCAATGGCCTGCAGAATCATGAGTGGTTCTGCCCATTCCTCCATAACTTTCAGTGGTTTTCAAATAGGTCATCCAAAGGCTAGACTGCTGAAACTTGTTCATTTTCTAAAAATAAAAAAAAATAATTAACTTGCAGATCAGCATATTAATGAGATCCTAACAATCTAGTTATCTATTTAGAAAATCAAAGTCAACAAAGAAATCCTTTCAAACATTGCGTCGAGGACCAGATTTTATTACAATAATACCTAGGATTTCTGATCACATTGAAGGTTGACAACAAACTGGAATTTCATAGTTATTAATCACTTTATTACTCTTGTTTAAAACCACAAATTTTCATTTATTTTCAATAAAACAATCATTTCTGAAACTATTGGCACACCTACAAATTCAGTCAAGACTTTTGCTAATAAAAGGAACTAAATAAATAGAATCATTTCAGATAATTTGGCATTTGAAACACAGTTTCAAGTTTCCATGCATTAATGTAAAATACAATTCTATTAATGTTAACTGCTTTTTCTCAAAATTATCCCATTAGATTGAGCCACTGTTTTATCAAAGATAAGAATATTCCATTTGAGCCACAGGGTACTAGGTACACAGAAATAGGCAGCTCGCCCATTTCATTTAAAAAATACACCATCAGTGCGGGGTACAGTGGCTCACACCTGTAACCCCAACTTTGTGGGAGACTGAGGCTGGCAGATTGCTTGAGTCCAGGAGTTCAAGACCAGCCTGGGCAACATGGTAAAATGCTGTCTCAAATACAAAAAATTGGCTGGGTGTGGTGGTGTGTGCCTGTAGTCCCAGCTACTTGGGAGGCTGAGGAGGGAGAATTACCCGAGACCAAGAAGTTGAGGCTGTAGTGAGCCATGATCATGCACTCCAGCCTGAGTGACACAGCAAGACCTTGTCTCAACAAACAAACAACCCACACCATTGGTTGGGTGTGGTGGCTCAGGCTCAGGCCTGTAATCCCAACAGTTTGGGAGGCTGGTGTGGGAGGACTGCTTCAGGCCAGGAGTTCAAAACCAGCCTGGTAAATATAGTGAAACCCAGTCTCTACAAAGGAAAAATTTAACAATGAGCCAGGCATGGTGGTGTACACTTGTAGTCCCAGCGACTTGGGAGGCTGAGTTGGGAGGACTGCTTGAGCCCAGGAGTCTGAGGCTATAGTGAGTCATGATTGTGCCACTGCACTCTAAGCCTGGGCAACAAAGTGAGACCTTGTCTTGAAAAACTAAACAAACCCAAAACACTCCCTGATACTATATTTAGGAACTTTATTTTTTTTGAGACGTAGTTTTGCTCTTGTTGCCCAGGCTGAAGTGCAATGGTGCGATCTTGGCTCACCGCAAACTCTGCCTTCCAGGTTCAAGTGATTCTCTTGCCTCAGCCTCCGAAGTAGCTGGAATTACAGGCATGCACCATAATGCCTGGCTGATTTTGTATTTTTTTTTAGTAGAGATGGGGGTTCTCCATGTTGGACAGGCTGGTCATGAACTCCTGACCTCAGGTGATTCGCCCGCCTCAGCCTCCCAAAGTGCTGGGATTACAGGCCTGAGCCACTGCACCCTGCCAGCAGGAACATCTTACTTTTTAACAGAGATTTCTAAGGCATTTAAAGAAACAAGTACTAATTACCATAGAATACCAGAGTAAAGACCATTTAATGTGTTCAGCAATTCATTTAAGAGCCCTTAAGAGAGCTTGTCAACATACCATCCGCTTCGCTATCTGCATCAGTCACATCTGCTAGTTTAGGATGGAATGGCTGCAAATTATGTCTCTGAGGCTGAGTTACAATCTTCGATGGAACACAGGCCACGAGGTTGCTACTGAGAGAGGCTGGTGGCAGTCTAGAGAGGCTGTTATGCATCATCTTTGATCTCTGCACTGCCACACTATAATCTGGAGGTTTTAGGTGTGGGTGGGGTCCTTCCTTTAGGTCAGCTAAAGAAATCCCCAAATATCCTGGAGGAGTGGGAGGTGGCTCCCTATACCTATCACCCTTCTTGGGTGAGGTGACACAGTACACTGGCATGAAAAATAAGCAATGAAAATGTTAATGAAAAAGAAATTAAAAAAAAACAAACTTACTACAATGACAAAATAGAACTTAAAAACAGACAAAATGAATAAACTTGAATGACAGCAGATTAAAAACATTTTTAAAAAGTTTAATAAACAAACCTCTTTTTCAAATACATAAACAACTATATTAAGTCCTGTAAACATTAAACAGAATGAGAGAGTTGAAGGAGATGACACTGATGACAAGCTTCCTTCTGCAATTCAGCCCCCATATCACAGAAGTACATGACAACTCCTGAAGTCACACCAGCCCTAAAGATGTCAGAAACATTTAAAAGTTCACCCTAAACATCTATTCTCTGTAAACTGGGAGAGTTTACATAGAAATGACATTCAGGCCATCTGTTTAAGGGCTGTTTCACCTTCTCCCTGAGGCATGAGCCACTGTTTTCTGGCACTGCTGCGCGTATTACTTCTCGGTCCCAGCACATAAACTTTAACTTTGCTGATATGAAGGAACTAATTCCTTCAAGAACTTTACTTCTGGCCAGGTGTGGTGGCTTACACCTGTAATCCCAGCACTTTGGAGGCCAAAGTGGGTGGATCACCTGAGGTCAGAAGTTTGAGACCAGCCTGGCCAACATCGTGAAGCCCCATCTCCACTAAAAATACAAAAATTAGCTGGGTGTGATGGCGGGTGCCTGTAATCCCAACTACTCAGGAGCCTGAGGCAGGAGAATTGCTGCACCTGGGAGGTGCAGGTTGCAGTGAACCGAGATCGCGCCAGTGCACTCTAGCCTGGGTGACAGAGTGAGACTCTGTCTCAAAAAAAAAACAACTTTACTTCTAGCATCTGTGTTGTAATTGAGAATAAAAAAACAGAATTTTTGAAATTTCATCTTAAATTTCTCTGATTTTCAGCAGACATTAAAAACGATGACGACTTTAAATCCTTTTACTTAAATTTGTAAGCCCTGAGACTAAGGTAAAGCTTCAAAAATCATCATAAATAGGTTAAAGCGGAAGCTCCAAGAAATTAAGACTAGTTCATAACACCAACAGGAAAAATGGCTCTGAGTATCTTGATTTTGCAAGTGACTTTTAAAACACAAAAACTGTCTGTATACAAGCTGAATAAATTTTAAAAGACCATCAAATAATTCTAATATTAACTTTACCATTAGAGAATTTGGTTTGTCCATATTGAATTTTCTATAATTCTACCAGTAAAATTTGCATGTACTATCAAGGTCAGAAAGGCTTTCCATTCCTATTTGAGGATGGGATGGGTGAGGTGATAGAGGTGGAGAGGTTGCCAAGAGAATAACAAGAAAAAGCAGGCAAGTGATTTGCCGACAGTCAACAAGACATAAATGATTAAAAAATCTATATTCATCAATGGACAAGAAAAAGATTTTTGTATCTCCGTATACACATATGCTCATAAAGTGGTTACCCGAAAGGCTTCAATAAAAAATGTTGGGCCAGGCACAGTAGCTCATGCTGGTAATCCCAGCACTTTGGGAGGCCGAGGCAGGCGGATCACTTGAGCTCAGGAGTTCGAGACCAGCCTGGTTAACATGGTGAAACCCCATGTCTACTAAAAATACAAAAATTAGCTGGGCATGGTGGCGGGCACCTGTAATCCCAGCTACTTGGGAGGCTGAGACAGGAGAACTGCTTGAACCCGGGAGGCAGAGGTTGCAGTGAGCCGAGGTCGTGTCACTGCACTCCAGCCTGGGCAATAGAGCAAGACTCCGTCTCAAGAAAAAAAAAAAAAAGTTGGAAAAAAATGAATGAGCTAAAAACCCAACCTATAACACAATTTGAAAAGTAACTATAAGATCAACATGTTTCACCTTCACATTTTTAGTAGTTAAATGTGACACTATGACTGTTCTATAAATTTAATAGTTGATTATGATATTAATTCAAAGTACAGTCATTCCATATAAGTAGAAAAGCAGGAGTTTTATATCCATGTATTTATACAGTCCAGGAAAGAAATTTGTAAAAAGTATTTGATGGTTAAATACTAAAAATGTTTACTAAGAAAGCTTGGAATGGAATTCACAAACAGGAGTTGGCCTACTCATGATGTACACCAAGAGAGAATACTGAAAAATGTTCTGGACTTCCTTATCGCATTTTCTCTCACTTACCTAAAATCAATAGCAGAATCAATGTTTCTACCACATATGCATAGCAATTGTGGTCCAAACAATTTATGAGGTGATAAAGAGAATAATCCCTTTATTTACCATTGCGCACTAATGCGATGATATTCCTCAATAAAACCAAAAAGAACTTAAAAACAAAAGACAGACAAACTTGTCCCTCTAATTAAATACCTTCACATCAGACTTTTCATTTTAACGGGTTGAATAGCTGCTCCAAAGTCTTTGAGAAACCATGAATTTTTGGGAAATACTTTGTTTGTGAAGGAAAGAAAGGTTGTTAGAGAATGAATTTTCGCAATGATAAAATCCGGGCCAAGATATCCCAATGCCATTTTTTGACTACTTAATCTCTAAATGCCACAGACAACAAAAACACAACTTACCAATCAAGCCCTTTTCTGTACTTGAAGTGACAGTTTTATAAACTGGGTCAGTGGCATCCTTGGGGTCCAAGCCTTCAGATGACTCAGTTGGGGTGCTCTCCAATACTCTCCGTTTAACTGTCCCATAGTTTGGTTCATACGTGTCAGACAGAGAACTGGAGGAGGCCCAACTCTTTCTCTCTAGGCTTCCTTTGCACTGCCCACAAGTTCTAGAGCAGCTTTTAGGACAGGAATAGGGCTCACAGTCAGTGGGTTCAACTTCAGCAATGGGGTCATCCAAATGGGTATGTCTGTAAGAGTTCAAAAAATCCCAGCTTTTTGGGTTGGGAAGGCTTTGGAAGTTGTCATGGGAGCTGCTTGAACACGAAGTCCAACTTCCACGACCACTGTCAGCTGCTTCTATAATGACATGCTCATGAGAAATCTCTTCACTGCTCACAGACGATGAGACAGCTAAACACTTGATTAGAGATGGCTTCAAGAGTGTCCACCTAAAATTGGAGATAATGTACAATTAGAAGTAATTTACAGGCTTGCTGGAAAAACTATCTTCTATTTCAAGTTATTATTGCCTACGAGAAATTACAGAGCATGTACCACAAGTGTTCACGCCAAAACATCATGAAGAAAACAATATTATCATTATTTATCACTAAATTCCTTGTAAGTATTTAGTTAACACTCAGAAGACACAGTAAAGAAACTCAAATGCTTAGCAAAGTTTCCTTAGCATTTTTCTTTTTAAATTTAAAATTTTTTTTTTTTTTTTTTTTTTTTTTGAGACAGGTGTCACTCTGTTGCCCAGACTGGAGTGCAGTGGCTATTTATAGGCACAATCATGGTGCACTGTAGCCTTTAACTCCTGGGCTCAAGTGATCCTCCACCTCAGCCTTCCCAGCAGCTGGGATGGACCAAAGGTATGCCTGGCAAGTATTTTTCTTGAACTGATTTTAAATGAAAATGCAAAGATGAGATCTGAAATGAATAACATTAAGTATACATATTCATTCTTGGTCATCACAATATTAGACTACTGTCCATGCATACAGAATTAAGAGTTCCCAACTTGAAGAATCATGTTTTATTTCTCAACGTTCTCTGAGGTTAGCCCAGTACAGTGCCAAGTAAACAGCAACTTCCCCAATTACCTATGAAATGAATCATTTATAGCAGGGGTCCCCAAACTACAGCTCAAGGGCCAAATTTAGCCAACAGCCTGTTTTTGTATGGTCTGCAGCAAAACCTTTTAAAAGGTTTAAAACAAAACCAAACCAGAAGAATTTGTGACAGATACTGTATGTAGCCTGCAAAGGCGAAAATATTTTACTACCTGGCCCTTTACAAAGAGTTTGTAAACCCCTCATTTACAGTATAGAGCAGAGGGTAGCAAACTACAGCCCAGGGCCAAATCTGGTGGTCCCTTTGCTCATTTTTGTAAATAAAGTTTTAATGGGACACAGTCATGCCATTTGTTTATGTGTTGTCTATGGCTGTTCTGGCGTAATAGCAGAGTAGTTGTGACAGAGGCCTTATGGCCTGAGAAGTCTAAAGTGTTTACTACATAACTTTTATAGAAAACATTTGTTGACCTCTGGTGTAGAGATCATAGTTTAGAAACCTTTATAAATGTGGTAATACTTTATCTTAATTTGTTCATATTAAAGTAGACCAGATTTCACAATATTTATCAGTTAAAATAAACTTTCTCAAAGATTTCCATGTTGCTTGATTCTAAACATAATTTTTTTTTTTTAATTAACCTTTGCTAGGTGATTATTCTTACTCCCCAAATTACACTTTCAGAGAACAGGGATCAAGGGCTAGTCCTACTCTCCCAACCTGTCTACAGTGTGCACAGCACTGGAGGCACTTTCCAACATACAACCTTTTCGATTAACCTATAACAGCCAGAATTTCAAAAATTATCTCCCCTATATAAATAGCAGATGCACTTTGAGTTCTGATTGGAAAGATAAAGATAAAAAGTTACTTGAATTTAGTAACACTTCGAAAATGAACACCCATACATCTTTCAAAATAGTGCTTATTTACATATTCAGAATACAGAATATGTGCTTGGCCCACATATTCTTTTATGGATAACTCTGCAATTACCCCATGGGAGGTCCAAGGTCAAGTTGGGGAGCACTGCTTGCAATGGCCACTTGGCTTGGGTTTTGTGTTATGAACACAGACAATGATGCTTACCCAGGGCCATGTTGACTATGATCTCCTATCCCTGAGGGGTGCTCTGTCTTTTCCAATGCCCCAGTGGGTTCAGGGACTGGCAGGGCCTGAGAGGAACACCGTTCATCCTGTAGAGCTGCAGACATGGAGTCAATAGAACAATTGCTCACGATGCTGGACCGTGAAGAAATCTCACTATGGCTGGAGTCAGATAAGTTGTCAGATTTAGCTGATGGAATAAGTGTGTAACCTGAACAAGAAAAGAGCATTGATCAAACTACAAAAAAAGGGAACATAGGGTGGGGGTAGTAGGGGGAAGGATGAAAAAAACCCCCACAAAAATAACAGAAGACAAAGTAGAAGCAATTTTAGTTTCCATCTACATAGATATAATGGTGCCAATTATATCTCCACACATTCCCCTACATATTCCCCCTACATACCCATTCACCTACCCATCCACACCAATACAACTACATTCAAGAAAAAGACGAAGTCCAGTGTTACTAAGAAAACTAGTTTAAAGGTACATCTGTCTCAGGCTCTCCCACAGCTATAATAATCATTTAATAAAATAAGAACATTACAAATATTAAAAAGTACATGTCTTTAGGGTTTCTCAACTTCTTTTTAACCCAATGCTCCTTCCTTTGATCAATATGAATATTTCATGACCTGATCTGAATCCAAAATACCATTTTGAAGTAAGGATAGGGGTGGGAGTCCAGGACTCAAGGGAAAGAATTACATTTTTGCTTTATCAAACTATATATACTTACCCCAGATATTCTGCATATCTCACCTAAGAAGTCTTGTCTTGAGTTGAGAGTCACCGTTTTAGATTATTTTTATTTTTTAGACACAGGGTCCTGCTCTGTTGCCCAGGCTACAGTGCAGTGGCATGATCATAGCTCACTGCAGCTTTGAACTCCTGGGCTCAAGTGGTCCTCTTGCCTCAGCCCCAAGTAGCTGGGACTACAGGTCTGCACCTCCACACCCAGTTATTTTTAAACTTTTTGCAGAAATGAGGTCTCATTATGTTCCCCAGGCTGGTCTTCAACTCCTGGTCTCAAGCAATCCTCCTGCCTCAGCCTCCCAAATTGCTGGAATTACAGGTGTGAGCCACTGTGCCCAGCCTGTTTCAGTTTTTAAAACTGTTTTAGGTTTAAACTGAGTGTCAGACTTAGTTTCCTTTTTCTTCACCAACCTTGCAGAATATTAAACAGCTAAATGGATACATTTTTAATAATGTGTTATAGAAAAAAACAGCATCTACATGTTCTATGTTGTTCTGTGACTTACTGCACAGCAGACAACTAGAGAGATGTTCTGGATTCTAGGGATGCATTGAGGTGAAGGACCCAAAAACAAATCTTCAACAGAATGGCTAATGTACATAATAACCTATTTTGATAATTGGAAGACACCAAACTATTGTTTAGAAATAAAAGAAAAAGAAAATGCCCTAGTAATCCCAACAAGGGATGGGTCTCAAAAAAGTGAAAAATATCTTCTTGCTCACAGAGGAGAGTAGGGTTTAGTAGATATGTGGTCTTTGGACAATACCTGGAAATGTCATTAGGAAGAATCACAGGCTTTGGGTATGTTACAGGAATTCTCAGGGCCTCATCTTCATGCAGAAAGAGGATGACAACATCCTTAGTTCCAAGGTCCTTCTCTGTTTATGGATCTTGGAGTTATTCACATATAACTCAAGTCATTTAAGGAATAATTTGTTGCACAGTAACCTTATTAAGTCATTTTGTTAACTATTTCAAAGAGAAAAAGGCCCAGAAAACGTGTGATTTATACTTGGCCTATGTGGCCCGGAACAGGGTAAACCAAGACAAGCCAGTCTTCTGACTTCTATCAAACATCTCTGAACTTGGGATCATTGCTATTTGTCAATGTCCATGAGCTGATTAGTCAATTTTCAAGAGGACCAAGAAAGTGGATGTAATAAGTAAATTAAAAATAAATAAATACCTTCTTCCTCAAAAGAAAAAGTCATTGCTCTACATAATCGTCTTGCTTCATTGTTTTAAAAATAATTTCATTCTTATGTCTGTTTGATCAGTATTTCTCAAATATAATACTAAGAACCACCTGGCAAGCCAATTAAAATAAACATTCCGGATCCCATTTCTGGCAATTCAGGTTTACGAAGTCTGGGGTGGGACACAGTAATTGCGTTTTTTAACAAGTTTTCTAGATGATTCTGAAATTGCTATGTTAGACTAGTCCCTTCTCCCCCAAAGATAAGTAAAAAGTAGAGGATAAAAAAGCCTCCTCTACATATTTCACTCACAGATTCATCTAACAGTAGAAAATAAAGTCAACTACAGAAAACAGAGAGTATAAAATTTACTAACTCAATACATTAGTAAAATAACATATGTACAAATGAGGCATTTTAAAGTGCTTATAAATAGTATTTTACTAAGTTGTCTGCCTAAGCTTTGACAAATGGTTTAATTTAAGCCATGTATACATTAGTAACTGAAAACAAACTTAACACTAAAATAAAATAAGGAACTTCATCAGAGTGTCTTCCTCCTTTTAGACTTGAATCGCGTATAGAAGCAGTTTAAAGTGTTACTGTTGCCTTGGCTATTTGAATTGAAGATGGCACTCCCTTTCTCATCTTTGATGTTGCTTCCAACATCCTTCACTTTCTCACAGCTTTCTGTAGCTTGATTGTGATCTGTGTCCTCTTTTTGGCTGTTGACTAGTCTTTCCCTTGAAAGCATTCTTTCCCTAAGTCTTCTAAACGGGGATGTCATTCTTTTTCTGGTTGTGTTCTCACAACTTGTCCTGTCTCTATTCTCCTCAGTGGCCTTCTCAGTACTGTCTGTTCTTTTGGCTGTGCTCCTGGTAATCTGAAGGATTTTCTTTTGCAAGTAAGCCCCACCTATTCCGGGGCAGCTCTGGCCACTGATCTTGCTGCTGTGATCAGATATGATACTGCCAACTGGAGGGAGAGATGCAAAAACCCTGACATGGTCAATCAAAATTAGCCTTGTTTACATAATATTTCACTATTTAAAAATTCTAACATCTTGATAATATCTGAAAAATTGAAATCTAGCAACATATTTTTTAATGCATGGAAAAAATCTACTTATATATAACATACACACATCAGTTATTGCAAGACAGAATGCAGGAGAAAGATTACCTTTATCAGCACAAGCTGGTGACAAAAACAAAAACAAAAAAACTGTTGAAAGGAAGCCAAGCTGGTAAAATCATAAGGAAAAATATCACAAAAATATCAGGTAACTAGAATTATTTTTGTAAAGTAATTATGTAGGTCTAGAATTGTAAGGTAGATTTTACTATGAAAAAGCTTAGTAAAAACCAAGTAAGACATACAAATAGTACACACAACAGGTATATTTATAAAGCTCATTTTCTGATCCTGTTGTAGATCCAAGGTGGAGAGACTGCTTTTCTTAAACACTAGGGTAGATAACGTTTAAGGTCTCGACTTCTTTTTAAAGTACTTGTTGAAACTATCCTCATGCAAAACATGAAGATAGGTTTATTTTCTTAATCATAAGAAAACAAAGAACAGATCTCAAAGTTTAATAAGAACCAGGAACAGATCCTAATAATTTACTCTGAGCATAATGACAGTTTTGTTCAATCATAGATTACTGGCAAAAACCTGTCTACACAAATAGAAGGATCATACTTGGTTGGGGTTTTGACAGTACACATGCAAGAACAAGCTGAAACAGTTTTGAAGAGAAGATTTTCTTCAGGCTTCTAAGAATTCCAAACATTACTAAGACAAGCTCACAAATCTATAATGGTGTTCAACTGTTGGCTACACAATGAAAGACAATGGAAAAAAGACTTCTCTATTCGAGTGTTGAGTGTAGATTTTGTTGGGAATAAGAGCAATGGAGGAATTCCCATTCCTAATACCTCTTGCCAGAAGTCACATTTAGGCATAAAATACCAAATCAGATCCTACTAGTTAGAATCATCTATAATGGGATGGACCTCTGAGCAGTCTCTAAAAGGGGTAAGGAGTGTAAAGATGTTCCTGAAAGAGCATTAGGAGCATATGGACACTGTTCATTTGGACCATCCGTCTGACTGGAGGCACTGCAGCTTATTCTACACCACAAGATCTGGTAAGGGGTGCAATGGACAGGACCATACAGACAAGGAAAGTGATGACGCAGGTCTGTTTGCCACACAAAATTCTATATGAACTATAACGGTATCAAAATCTGTGTTTTATAAATACACCTACAATATATACTGTTTATATCTCCTGTTTCATTTTTATTAAGCTTTCTTTAGTAAAATCTGAATGAAAAAAACCTAACCAGTCTCAGCTATGTGAGGATGAAAAAAGCAAGTAAGTAATGGAGCTATGGTGTCCTGAGGTGGCAACAGAGAAAGAAAAGAGACATTCCAATTCACTAAACACTTACCACACATCAGGCTTTATAAATATTATTTCATTTAAACCATATAAGAGGCTCTCAAAATAGATGAAATAAATGGTCTTTTTCTTTTTCTTTTCTTTTTTTTTTTTTTTTTTTGAGATGGAGTTTTGCTCTTGTCACCCAGGTTGGGCAACAATTCTGCACCCAGTTCTCTCTTGATTTCCATAGCCACCAAACTAGTTGGGATGCAATGGCATGATCTCGGCTCACTACAATCTCCGCCTTCTGGGTTCAAGTAATTCTCCTGCCTCGGCCTCCTGAGTAGCTGGGACTATAGGTGTGTGCCACTATATCTGGCTAATTTTTTTGTATTTTTAATATAGGTGGGTTTCACCATCTTGGCCAGGCTAGTCTTGAACTCCTGACCTCAGGTGATTCACCTGCTTCGGCCTAGATGGTCTTTTTCCCATCTTAGACAGAAAACCTCACCGTATAAATAAATTACTTGTAGTAACACAGCTACAGTGGAGGACAGAATCACGGTTCAAACTCAGGTCTGACATCACTGTACATAATTGCCACACAGGTGGCAAAAATAAGAAAGAGCTCTGCCGAGTGAGAATAAACTTAGAGCCTGGAAGCTGAAGCAAGCTCTGGAAGCTTCTCTCTCCTGTTAGAATTATTATAATAAGTCTGTCTTCCCTCTGACCATGTACCATCCTCTGGTGTGATTATTTAAATATGTAATTCTTTTACATCTGTGAAGAAGACACCACGACTAAATCCCCTTTCTCTCCAGGGTACACACAGAATGTGAAGGGTCAATATAAGAAATACACACTATATTTAGAATGCTACATGTGCAGCTAACATGAAGTGGCATCTGCATGCACACTGCCCAGGCTGGTCGCGAAAAGAAATGCTCCAGTCTGAATTATGAAAACATGTAAATGAACAAGAATTTCAGTTTTTCACCTCATGAGATTCTGTGTAAGTAAAAAATCCACAAGAGTACAGGTTATTTTAAATCCTAATTTTAAAAAAGGTAATACTCTATTACTAAAAAAAGGCAAACCATCAACCTAAATATTTGTTTTCCTAAATCTTATAGTTGGTTAAAAACAATTTCTTTCTTTTTTTTGAGATGGGGTCTTCCTGTGTTGCCCAGGCTGGAGTACAATGGCGCAATCACAGTTCACTGCAACCTCTGCCTCCCAGGCTCAAGCAATCCTCTCACCTCAGCCTCCCAGGTAGCTGGGACTACAGGCACAGCACCATGCCTAATTTTTACATTGTTTGCAGAGATGGGGTCTCATCATGTTGCCCTGGCTGGTCTCCAACTCCTGGGCTCAAGTGACCCACCCGCCTCAGCTTCCCAAAATGCTGGTATTATAAGCATAAGCCACTGTGCCTGGCCTAAAAACAATCTCTTATAGAAACTTTTATTTGCAAACACTTCATAGAAATGTCCAAATATAGGAAACTGGAATGACGACACCAAGAATTTGCACCAAAACTATGGCTTCTGCCTTCATTCTTATCCATGCTTGCTGTCTGTTGAAGTTTAGGATCACACTTTGAATACTGGAGTCCTAGTTACATGACACATAATACCCAAAAAGCATTTGAATAATGCAATACAAAACATCAAAGTTCAAAAAGCATTAGGAGTCATGCTTTTCTTAATGATTTACAATTATTGCTATAGACTGAAAAGCAAAGTATGTGCTATAAAGTATTGTTTAGTTTGACAAGAACTAGTTTGAAATGCTTTGTCTTACCTTTGTGAGGGGAACCTTGAGGAGATGCAGGAGGACTCGAATGTAAAGATGATGCCACAGAAACAGTGTCTTCTGTATGTTTCTTACCACTTACTTCTTCAGTTGTTCCTAAAACTTTCTGAGGTAAACTTGTATCTAAAAATAAAAGTAAAGATGCAAATAAGCATCGTTTCACAATTAAAATGTCCATAGTTGCCTAAATCACTATGTAACTAAAGCTATGATACACAATGGCTAGTGTAGTCAATTGAAATGTGTAAATGACAAACAGGGACTAAATGACTGAGTAATGGCACACAGAGATTCTCACCTCTAGGTTATCCATTCAAATTCAGCTGGTCAGCATGGACCAGATTATATTAGTTTGTCTGTGCTTTGTGGTATAAGGGAAATAAATTTAACAGTCTGAGTGCTGTGCCCCACCTCCCACAATTGACACAGTGATTTGAAATCTTCAAAAAGAAGGCATGGATTCAAACTCTTCCCTCCCCTCTAGAGGTGGCCTCTCCAAGTCAGGGCGAGGCATGTAGCAGGGGCAGTGTGGGGATTTTGGCACTGTCACTACCTGTGGTGCATCTGTGCTGTGGGTATACAGAAGAGGCTGCAGGGCTGCCAGTCCAGCCCTTTTCAAGAGCACTAAATTCACACTACAGGAGAGAAGTAAACAACAGAAAGAATCATGAATGTATAGAAAAATAGTATGCAGCACAGTGGAAAGATTCCTTAAAGTTCTCATTACCCTGGTCCAACATCTGGTCCTGTTTAGTGTACCTCAAACCTAGCAATGGTTTCAATATATTGATGTTTTTACATTTATCTTCTCTAAGAAATGTCAAAGAGCTATAGACACTGTTCCTAAAACATAAAGTAAGTGGCCGGGTACGGTGGCTCACACCTGTAATCCCAGCACTCTGGGAAGCCGAGGCGGGCAGATCATGAGGTCAGGAGTTCGAGACCAGCCTGACTAACATGGTGAAACCCCATCTTTACTAAAAATACAAAAATCAGCCAGGCGTGGTGGTGCACACCTGTAATCCCATCTACTCAGGAGGCTAAGGCAGGAGAATCGCTTGAACCCGGGAGGCGAAGGCTGCAGTGAGCTGAGGTCGCACCACTGCACTCCAGCCTGGGTGACAAAGTGAGATTCTGATTCAAAACAAAAAACCCCCCAAAAACCCAAAACATAAAGTAAGCAAACTTTGATGAGGATTTTGACATAGTAACAAGCAGCCACTGGACAACGAAAAAATTTAGATCATAGTATACTCACACTACCCTTCATTAAATGTAATATAAACATATTTATCATAGAAACAGCCATATTACAATAAGAAATGAAGAAACCTATACGGGGCCAGGCGTGGTGGCTCACGCCTGTAATCCGAGCACTTTGGGAGGCTGAGGTCGGTGGATCACCTGAAGTCAGGAGTTTGAGACCAGCCTGGCCAGCATGGTGAAACCCCATCTCTACTAAAAACACAAAAACTAGCCAGGTGTGCTGGCAAGCATCTGTAATCCCAGCTACTCAGGAGGCTGGCACAAGAATTGCTTGAACCTGGGAAATGGAGGTTTCAGTGAGCCAAGATCGTGCCACAGAAACTCCAGCCTGGGCGACAGAGCAAGACTGTCTCCAAAAAAAAAAAAAAAAAAAAAAGCAAGCAAGCAAGCAAGCAAGCTACAGGGTACAAGTAATGTTGCCTCTCAAGTGGTGATATTCAAGTAAAAAAAACCAGAGCTAACTTTGTCCCTCTCTCGCTCCTACCAACAAATTCATGAACTTCACCAATTCTGCACCCAATTCTCCATTTCTATAGCCACCAAAGTAGTCCAGGCCCCAGGCAACTTCCACTTAACTGTTAGACCAGCTTTCCATCTGAGCTCTCTATCTCCAGTCCTGCTGTGATCCTTACTACAGTCCTTCTCAAACATAATTTGAACCATAATCTTCCCTTGTTCAAATCTCTTCAATGGCTTCTCACTGATAACTTTCCTTTGGCATGGCACATTGTAATTTCAGCATACCTGTCTTCATTCTCTGCATCTTGGAAGCTGTTTAGTACAGTGGTTAAAGGCAAAGATTTAAAGCCAGTCAGCCTTCCTTTAGCCTCTACGCTTCCTTTGCAGAATGAGGGTAAAATACCACTTATCTTGTGGCATTACTATGAAGACTGACATATAAAATTAATAAAGCACAATTTGAACCATGCCTGGCACTCAGTAAGTGCTCTCCAAGTGTTAGCTTTAATTATTATTGTCTGTCAACACTGCATGCAATTTCCACTCAGAGTCAGCAAAGTGCTTGTAGTTTCTTGCACATACCAAGCTGTTTCCTCGGCCTGAAGCAACTTCTCTGGAACTTTTGCCTAATCATCATCTTTGTCACCAGCCTTTCAGGCTGCTTAGATGTTATTTCCAAAAAGCCTTCTTCTGAAGCCCTATCTTACCTCTAAGTTACCTCTGTTTTGTTTTGTTCTTTTATATGTTCTGCATATACCCCTGGCATAACAAGAAGACACATTACACTGAAGTTATCTGTGTGAGTGTCTACATCACCAGACTGAAAATCTGGCAAAAGAGGGGGAATTTCTTACTCAACTTTGTATCTCAAACAACAACAGATTAAATGAACAAAGTTCTACTAAACGTATACTACATATAATTCATGGTCTAAGTAATCATGCTAGGAACCAAATCTAATCTAGCTTCTCATCTAAAAGGCTAAAATAATGATACTGTTAAAACAACAAATAAAAATAATATGAATAATGACTACAAGGCCTAACAGAAAAAAAAAAGTGTGGTCTATACTTTATAAAAGTTACATTCTCTTGTTTCCTAACTAGGTTTTCAAAAGGGGTCATTAAAGACAAAAAACAACGAATAGTCATTTTTGGAATAAGCAACTTCATTTCCACAGTTTTTGTAGATTGTGTCTGTATTAGATATTTCATTAAATACACCTTTGAATGCAGTAAGCCCCTGGTACCCAAAATGCTTTGCTGTAAATTTTCTATTGATCAACAGATTTCAGTATTATAGGAAATCCAATGTTGGCATTTAAAACATGTATGCTGTCAGCAAACATCTACAGTCAAAATGAAACACTTTTTGATTCATGAAGTGATGATTATATTACACAACCTACAACAGCTTATCTCCTGAACATCTGTAATTATTTTTCATTCTAACTCCCCTGGAAATTTCAGTTAAATGGATGTAATATTCATGGTGAATACTCACTCAATGCAGGGTCTTTTGCTTGTCCCTTCTTCCGGATGGGGTGCAGATTGACAGCTGGCGCCTGAAGCACCTGGCTTACTCTGTGGGGTTGATGCAGGTGGGCTTTAGCTGTTTGACCAGCTGACCTCATAGGCACTGGGGACATTTCAGATGATTTGGCTGATCTTTTCTCATTTAAATTCTTGGTCACTAATAGGAGACAGTAAGAAATAAGTAACTGAATGTTTTTAGGCAAGGTTATCACCACTGGCAATAATAAATGATTACTTTAAAACCATCTCTTTTTAGTACAAAAAATAAAATAGATTAATTGTCTTAGCAGGAATTTCAGTTAAGTACTATAAAATGTTATCTCCATTGCTTGGTGAGTCAGATAAAAAATGTTATCTCTAAAATTTTTGTAGAATAAGTTGTTAATTTTATCTCCTAAATAATTCTTTTTTAAAAAATTTTTTGAGATGAAGTTTCTCTCTGTCGCCAGGGCTGAAGTGCAATGGTGCAATCTTGGCTTACTGCAACCTCCACCTCCCAGGTTCAATGGAGTCTCCTGCTTCAGCCTCCCGATTAGCTTGGATCACAGGCACCTGCCACAAAACCTGGCTTTTTTTTTTTCTTTTTTTTTTTAAGACAGAGCTTCGCTTTTGTTGCCAAGGCTGGAGAGCAATGGTCCCGGGACTGTAACCTCTGCCTCTCAGGTTCAAGGGTTCAAGTGATTCTCCTGCCTCAGCCTCCCAAAGTGCTGGGATTACAGGTGTGAGCCATTGCACCTGGCCTATTTTTGTATTTTTAGTAGAGACGGGGTTTTACCACGTTGCCCAGGCTGGTCTCGAACTCCTGACCTCAGGTGATCCACATGCCTCAGCCTCCTCAAAGTGCTGGGATTACAGATGTGAGCTATCTCACCCAGCCCTAAATAATTCTTGAATCCATGTTAATTAGCTCCATCATTACTCTGCTGAGGGTCAAGTTAACGTTCTCTCTTTACTACTGAAATATTTTTCTCACTGTATCAATTCTAGCATGCCTTCAAGGCATTCTTCATAGAAGAGTAACTCTTCCAAAATGAGTATTTGATCATATCATTTTCCTTCTCCTTCTGCACAAACCTTAACTTGCCCCTGCTTTTAGAATAAAGACCCGAATCCCTAAAACAAGGCCTACATGACCCTGCATGATTTGCCATCAGCCTGCCCCCTTGACTTGACTCGCTTACCTTTCCTCTCATCAGTCCTATACTCTCATCAGGCTTTATCCTCTCTGTTCCTTTCATTAGGCTTTAACCTACTAGAGAGTAAAGACTATGCATTTTGTTTGTTACTACATCCTTATGTGCCAGTTACTGACTGAAAACAGATGCTTAATAGGTATTTGTTGAATAAATAAGTGAACTTATCTCAACAGCTCTAACAGAAGAAAACCAGAGATAGTGTTTTTATAAATCCATAGGTTTCTTGAAAATGAATGTGAGAATAAAAAACTGAGAACCCTGACTTATAAAAGCTGCCTCCTTCACATAAAACCAATACTGACAGTCCAAGGGGAAGACATTCTTCCATCAGGGAGTACTTTTAATCCTTAGGTTATCCAGAGTGGATATATTCCATGCAGGTGCAGCCTCAGTACTTCATGAAGTATTTGTTTTAAACATCAAGATAAAAGCAAAAACAGATATCTAAACTGTCTCAACACAGCTATAATAGCTATTATGCTTTTATTAAGACAGCTAGACAATATGTGGGGTGATACGAATCACAGAATATTTTAGAGACGGGCAGATCACAAGGTCAGGAGATCGAGACCATCCTGGCTAACCCGGTGAAACCCCGTCTCTACTAAAAAATACAAAAAACTAGCTGGGCGAGGTGGTGGGCGCCTGTAGTACCAGCTACTCGGGAGGCTGAGGCAGGCGAATGGCGTGAACCCGGGAGGCGGAGCTTGCAGTGAGCTGAGATCCGGCCACTGTACTCCAGCCTGGGTGACAGAGAGAGACTCTGTCTCAAAAAAAAAAAAAAAAAAAAAGAAAGTCAAAATGCACGGACCCTAGGAGAAAATATGCAGTGGCTCACCAACTAACTGAATCCAAGAGGTTATCTTTGTTTAGAGCCATGATATACTTTCATCCTTCTCTCATTGATTGGTCAATACTAATCAATGACATCTTATTTTAATAACTGCTACAGTACAAAGAAAAAAAACCTGAGCCTACTTTAAAAATAAAAAGAGTTCACAGATGAATGACAAAAACCACATATATTCTAATTAATTAGGAAGAACCAAATTCTATAATGCTCAGAAATCCACTATTGTTTGGGCTTGGGAGAGTGACTATTTAAACATTTAAAAATCAATTATGCATTATAAATAGGCTCAAACCAAATTAAAGGAACATGCATTGAACTAAATGTTCAAATCCAGTTTAAGAAAGAAAGGCCTAAAGATTTTCTCATTTCAAATAGATATTAAATATGTAGCATGGGACATCATTTAGTGTTACGAGAAAAGACAGACACAAGTCTGGGGTGGGTGTAAGAAGAGGAAGGTATGACAGTGTATATAAACTGTGTTTCATAACCACAAGATGATTAAGTCTATATCAAATTACCTGGGGAAAAATAACTTTGATGATGACTCAAAGCAGGGTCAGAAGGCTTTAATAAATATGTATGTGGCTTTGAACTTTAAAACATGAATAAATGTTAAAGGTTCTATATACTCTTTCAGCTTTTACCTTTAACATGTACTATTTAATATGTAGCAGCCAGAATGTAGAATGCTCTCAGTAACTGTTAGCTTTTCAAAATTTCTTTTTCCAAATTCAGTAACTTTGATGTAGAAAGAATCACAGAAACAAAATGTATTCCCAACCTTTGCTAAAGTTTTACATTCGAGAAAACAGGGACCAAAGATGAAGAAAATCTTACTCAAATGGTAATAAATGAAACTCAAATTCTGCCTCTATCCCTTTGTAGGTAATCTTCCCATCATACTCCAAATCTTTTCTTATATGTAGAAGCATTCATGATACTGTTTTGATTATAGCACTTATTAAAAGGCTCCTTACCCTTATTTAAAAATTGTCAAAACTGAAATTTTAAAAATCAGTATTTGGTTCTACTTCCACTTCCTGTTTTCGATTATTTCTTTTGACATACTTTTAAAAATTACTATGCAAATACCATATCATTTATCAATCTTAGGGTCAATCCATGATGATTACTACCCCTTGTCAATTAGGAATTTTCAAATAAAATTCTATTGCAATTTTTATGGGCAAATTTAACCCACTGTGTCTGTGTGTGTGTGTTTATATTTATTTATTTTTTAGAGACTGAGTCTCACTTTGTTGCCCAGGCTGGAGGGCAGTGGCACAGTCCTAACTCACTCCAGCTTCAAACTCTTGGGCTCAAGTGACCTGCCTGCCTCAGCCTCCCCAAGTTGCTAGCACTACCACTCGGCTAATTTTAATTTTTTTTTTTTTTTTGTAGAGATGGGGTCTCTTTGAGTTGTGAAAGCTGGCCTCAAGTGATCCTCCTGCCTAGGTTTCCAGGTGTGACACACCATGCCTGGCCTTAATCTACAACTTAAGAATTACAATTATTTTGTTATAACAGTATATATTTCATTATCTTTGATTTCTGCTCTTAGAACTCATAATTTCCTTGATCCAAAGATATATGCATTCTCTTGCTTGTATTTAATTAAAAAAATTTGTATTGAGAACGTGATCTTTTTCATCATATTTTCTGGAGACTACCTAATATCAGAATGTGTCTGATTCTTTTTGTTTTACCTTACTACTGGCACCTGTAAGGTACCTATTATCACTGGTGTTTTAATCAAATGTCTTATATTTTCTAGTTGGTACATATTATCCATGAAATAAAAAGAGGTAAAAATTCCCCTTATGTTTACTCTTTAGGGATGAATGTAAAAATGTTCTCCAACAGAAAGGCTCCTCTATAATGATCCAGTTTTCAAAAGACTTAAAAGCTTCTTAAAGATCTACTTGTTCCTCTATTTTTTGGATAGCGTAGGCATCAGGAATGGATGGGATTCAGTACGTGATTAACTGGATCACATGATGCTTAAGGTATGCCAGTAATCTTTTGTGAGTGAAAGTTAATTTTCTTGGGACTTAGGCATAATTCTAGAGTAGTAAGTTTTTATTTTGTTGTATTCTTTAGTGTCACATAAATGAAAACTCATACTCACAAGTACCATACGCAGGCTCCCACTGTAATGACATCATCTGGAACTTCTCCTCATCTGTCTCTACATCCAGACTGGAAAGATACTGCTTCACCTTCCTTGCCATTTGGGCATCCTCATATAGCTTCTTGGCATTAAGTAGAGAGCTGCGGCGTGCCCTTTTTTTGTGAGCACCTCCCTGAACATCCAGCATGTTTGAATTTGTGCTTCCTTGACTCAGTGACCTGTAAGAAGATGAAAATCACAATAAGGGGCTGTAGAGATGAGAACTAAGCATAGATTGAAGATTAAAAGATTTTGTTCTGTTAATGCTATTGCATGCTGATGTAAATGAGTTAAAAGATGAAGAGCATTAATGTAAAGTAATTTGGCACTTTAATGGTGATGTTCTGAATTAAGAACAGGATTTGGCAAAGTACAGAATTCAAAAGAATAGGATAACAATGGCCCCCTGAGTGGCATGTTCCAACAGGCCTGTGTTTGTGCCTATGCAACCCATGGCACAACAGTAACAAGAAAAATCATTCCTCTGGTCCTGGAGGCCACCCATGCATTGAAGATATGGCAAGAGTCTGGACCAGGACAAGTCCATCCTCAGCCAAATCTCTGAACCAGGGTTCTTTAGCAATGAGGGTTCTAAAGTAGTTTTGCTTGTTGTTCTGCTTTCGACATGCTATTGCCGCTACCATTATAGCAGGCCCACTCTGAGCATGTTAACCAATTTTACCAGTAACCATTATTTTGGCCAAAACTCAAAGAGAACTACCAATAACATATTAGCTGAAAATTTACAGCATTTATATGCAACTCAATATAGTCAGAAATCAGAATGCAGGAAAAACTCAACGCTTCTACTCACATATGGAATGGTTAGGCAATATTTGGGTTCTAGAACTGAGGATCTGGGACATCACTTTTTTAACGCCTGTGAATGTGACAGAATTGCAAGCTGGGTGGAAATAACCACAATTCAAACAAGCTACAGCTTCACCTGACTCTACTCTTTTTGGCAAACATCCTACAATGACTGCACCTAGAACCAATGGAAAACAGCAACTGCAACGATGTTTGTCCTTTCTAACAAGTCTAACAAATACAAAATTCTTAAATAATTTTTATTTAGATGGTATTTTATTTCACCCTTCCAAAATAATATGGTTATCTACGGATTCTAAATTAAGCTTCATTTTTATATAAAAATATTCTAAATACAAAGACCATAGTGCTCATCTATCTACTTTAAAATAAACACTAAAATCCTAATGCTTTCATTGTAAATTAAGTGAAATATAGTTGAAAAAGTGTTATGGCATTTTTTTCTTTCACATTTTAAGATCTCTCAAATAGGGGTATATCTTACACTCAGTGGCAACTTTCAATTGCTATTAGCCTGGCAGAAACTATGACAAGACATTATTTACACATGCAGGAACCTCAAAACTTGCAGAATGGCTTGAAAGAAAATCCAATGACATTAGTGAATTAGCCTTTTAACCTCCAAGGACCAAATGATTATAAGGAAGTAATAAATCTGACAAGTTCAAGAACATTCCCAAAGCAAGTGACAAGAGAAAACTAACTCTAAGTATTTCCAAAGCTAGCCTGAGAGCCCAGCACCAGCAGCTTTCGGTTCTTTTGTGGTTTTTCAAAGAAATGGTGCATTACCAACACATTGGATGGCACAGAGGGCAATACTGTATGGGGGAGGAGGGTTCTGGAAAACAAAATTCAGAAGCTAATGACTCTAAAAGAAAACATTTCAGAAGATTCATATTTTGAATATAAAGAAATTTTAGGAAAATCTAAACCAATTTACTTTGCTTATATTTTCCTTTTTATGGGAATAAAAATATTGATTTTTAAAAATTCAGTTTTGACGCTGTGATAAAAATCCATAGCCAAGTCCATAAGAGCTCCTTCAATAAGCATAAAGTAGAAATTCTCAGTGGTAACAGGACACTGTAGTGATTTTCCTTAGTAGTAGATAAAAGAACAATATGCCCAACAATTGACGATGTCTTGAATTCAAAGAAATGCAGTAAAATCAAGTTGCAGCTATTTAGGAGCAAATTTTAACACAAATATTTAATAATTTTATCTTAGTTAATATAAAAAAAGTAGGTGTTGACAAATCTAAGAGAGACACAAAATTCTAACAAAAACACTGTGATAAATATCAATAAAATGTTTTCTAAACTACTGTGAAAACAGAAAATGCTCCGATATAAAATAAATATATCTAATGTTTGCAAGCATCACACAGTGCAACCCTAAAGCTGAATGAACAGTGAAACATGTTAACATAAGTCATTCAAACACACCCAACGCCCACTAAAAGATATGTCCAAGTATTCTTCTTTATAATAGTAATGCCAGGTATCAATTTCTATTTTCGGTGAGAAGAGCCAAAAGAGACCAAGACATAAATTTATGATCCAGAAGAAAATACGTGGGAAACACACAGAGAAGGGAGAAAGAAAATAGAAGGAAAGTCAAGTTCACCAAGCATTGACAGAAAACAAGACCACAAATGAGACAAGACTCGAGTAAAGAAGGTGGCTCACAAAAAAATTCTTCTTACATGTAATAAAAGCTTCTAACTTCATGGTTCACTACAAGTCTTAAAATAACAAAATTCTTCTTATGCAATCCCTTCATTCACAAAAGTCATCTCTTTCTTCATCTAAAAATGAAAGGACTAGATAGATGATTTATAAGATCTTTAACATTCTATGATTCTAAATGGACACTTAGCTATGTAGAAGTAGAGACCTAAATCTATAACAAATAGTGGTAGTTGCTGATTCTATCACAACTTTAAAGATAAGGGAATCTTCAATTAAAGCTGGTAAAAATTTCAAGTAAAATTCAATCAATGCTACAAGTAAGTGGCATTAGTGGGTCTGAGGAAATAAAATCATCTTCTACTTCAATTTTATAGTACAGCTTGGATAAGGGCTGCCTCTTTTTGGAAAACTGATGGAAAATGCAACCTTCATAAATAGATCTTTCATTCATTTTTATACATTCATATGACATATTTACTTTAATAAAATGTGGCATTTGAATAAAAGAAAGTGGTGTGAACTCTAGAATTAGACTACCTAGGTTTGGATCCACCATTAATGAACTCTAAAACTTTGGGCAACTCAAAACCTTTCCCATCCACACCATGGAAAGAACAGTATTTCCTTATAGGGTAGTAGCAGAATTAAGTAAGATAATTCATTTAGAGTGCTTAGAACAATGTATGGCACATAGCAAGCACACAACAAATTCATTATCATTATCATCATCTAAATGACCTAGCTAAATTAAAATCTAAAAAGGACTTACAGGACATCAACAGTGGGAAAATAAACGAAAAATAGCTAGTTCTATCACTACTTTCACCTTGTTAGCAGAAGGCATTTGTCAGGAATGTAGGCTGACAGGGTTAATAGAATTCATGCTACTTTATGTGCGTGCATTAATGAAAAGGATGCAGTATATGTTAAGAGTCGCACAACCTTCATTCCAGTTGCGTTCATCTCTACACTTACCCCAGACTCCGCCACCTCTTCTTCCTGTAAGCAAGAGCCACAAACATTGAAGCATGTGTTTGAATAGGAAAGCACAGAAAAAAGACAACAGTTGAGAGTCAGAGGAACTATGTAGACAGAAAAGAACAGAAAAATTTTATCAGGAAAAAATTATAGCTTAACAGTAATATGACTTTAATGGAAGGCAGGAGGGTAATATGAATATATATAGAAGGTCAAAAAAACCTCCAAAATACTTTATAAAAATATGCTTTAGATCAATTATCAGGAAGCTTTAATTTACCTAATTTATCAGGAAGCTTATATAAATAAGCTTAAGGAAAAACATTTACTTACTATAATATAAATTTTGAATTCAAAGTTTTAAGGGAAAAGACCTTAAAGGGATAGAATTTTTGAACATATTTCTGGCAAGATTTTTGGGCCACTCATTTAAATAACAGAATGAAATTACAAGGGACATAAAAACACAACATTTCATTTTTAAGTGCAGAAATTTCTCTGACAAGATGTCTTGTAAGAAATGTTGACCAGCAAATCCAACTTAAAATGTAGGTAAAAATACATCATTAAAATCTTCATAATACTATATATCTTCACATTCCTGTTTGATTGACTAAAGATTCTATTTTTTAAGTCTGCAAATTGATTACTGTTAAAAGGGGTTACTTCGCCCAAACTAGATACTCATATACCACCAAAATGGACACTGTTTGCTTAAAGAAAGGTATTACATTTTAGCACTGGCTGACAAAACTGATTGAGGAAAAATTCAGTCCAATCTTTAATACAGATGTTTTTTATATTCCCCCAACACCTTATTCTACTCAATCCAGGCCATTCCCAAGAAAACAGCCATGTTTATTAATTTCCTCATCAGTTTTTCTCCTTGACTTATTACTGAAGTATGGCTAGTACTTAGTACATTATAAACTGGTCTGGCAGGGTCACAAATTCATCATGTTCTTCAGCAACCAGGATGTTAACATGTATGAGTAAAAAGAGGTCCATATAAGACAACAGGGAGTGTTAGGGTCACTGTACAAGGACATGCAACAAAAAGCAAACAAACCCTTCTTTGCTTTGGTACCTAGTTCTTACTCTTTTCTGCTTCCCCACACTGTTAAGCAATGACATCTTTCAATACATGTAGTGATTCTCAAGGTGCAGAAGTGGGATGTGTAGGAAAGAGGAGATCTGGCACACTCCCTCCTTCCTTCCATACTTTGTGGATCTCTAAATCAGACAAACCATCAGATAAACTACTTGCAACATAGTGAAACCCTGTCTCTACCAAAAATAAAAAAAATAAAAAAATAAAAAATAAAAAAAAAAATTAGCTGGACATGGTGGCATGCACCTGTAGCCCCAGCTACTTGGGAGGCTGAGGTGGGAGGAACACCTGAACCCGGGAGGTTGAGGCTGCAGTGAGCCGAGACAGCACTACTGTACTTCAGCCTGGGCAACCAGAGTGAGAGACCCTGTCTCAAAAACAAAGACCCTTAAGCGACAATTTAAACAAAACAAACAACAAAAAAAAACCCCAGGGTATCACTGGTTCTATTGGGTTATGAAAATTTCAACTCTGGTTTTTAAAGTATTGTGTTGGGGTAAAAGTAACTGCAATTTTTGCCATTACTTCTACATTAAAAGTTCTTTTACATTAAAAGTTACATTAAAAGTAATGGCAAAAATCACAAATACTTTTGCACCAACCTAATACCAAGTATTTTTGTTTCCTTAGCACAGTATATTTTTTAAGCCACAGAAATTGTGTTGGCCCCTGTACATTATTTCATTTTTAATGTCCCTGTGAACTGAAGCTATAGGCCCCAAAGGAAATCAGATCAAAAATTAAAACCACAATGTCTTATTTACACCCTGAAAATAATAAAAATTACTAGGAATAGCTTAACAACATACTTTGTTTCAATTTTATGTAAGCCGAGGAAGCCTTTTGTTATTACATTAAAAATGAACCTTAAAAAGCATTCTTAAAATATCAGGTCAATACAGAACACAATAAAATTTTTCATTTTTAGTAAAGTATGATTAAATTTCCACTTTCTACATTCTGTTCATTTGTATGTAATAAAAACTTATATACAAATGAAACACAGTGTAATTTGAGGAAAAGAAAAAAAGAAAAATGGTTTACTAGAATGAAGTATGAATTAAACAGAAACAGAATATTTAAAATATTCAGTAAAAATAAAAGACACAGTCAGACTAATACTTTACAAACTAGGTTAGAAACGAGATGAAAACAAGACGAATACCAGCAATTTTCTTGTATTTGTTTGCTAACCTTTTTTTTTTTTTTTTTTGTATTTTTAGTAGAGATGGGTTTCACCTTGTTAGCCAGGATGGTCTCGATCTCCTGACCTCGTGATCTGCCCACCTCAGCCTCCCAGAGTGCTGGGATTACAGGCGTGAGCCACCGCACTCGGCTTGCTGATGTTTTAAAGAACAGTAATACAGAACTATCCACATACAAATATTTGCAAATTATATAAAAACTACTCTGAGCCTCATTCAGTGTCTTCATATATAAAAGGAAGGCTAATACCACCTACCTGTTATGGTTATTATGATAAATGATTACATGAAACTGACATATATAAAGCACTTTGTACAGCACATAACACAAGGTAGAATAAATATGATCAATAAATGATAAATATGTTAATTATTATTACATCGCCCTTGACACCACTCTAACACTTCTACATATTTCAATGTCCTACCTCTGTCGAAACATCATAGCCGGGTCCATATTAGCAGAAGTCATTCGAACAACTTGGCGGATTTCCTTGGAAATCATTCTTAACTTCTCAAAGTTTACTAAACCATCTACTTTGGAGTCATTTCCTACAGAATGAAAATAAATGTTTAAGTTCACAATTAAATTATCTACATAAAAGTAGCAAAAGTCAAGCTGGTAATCTTGAGGGGCACACAGAAGGACCTTCTTTACCACAGTGCCAATTTTGCTTTTAAGAACTGATATACCCATACATGGTTCAACCCTGCTCTTAGGGAATGAGCCACTAGGAGATACTGTGTTCCATATAGGAGTGATGGTTATGAATAAAGTCAAGTGATAAACTGTGCATGGCTTCTAAAATCAGTTTCATTGGCTGGGGGCACAATGGCTCCCACCTGTAATCCCAGCAGTTTGGAAGGCCGAGGTAGGTGGACTGCTTGAGCTCAGGAGTTTGAGGCTGCAGCGAGCCATGACTGTGTCACTACACTTCAGCCTGGGCAACAGAGTGAGAACTCAACTCAAAAAAATCCACAAAAAACGAAACAAAACAAAAATCCCGAACAAAGGGCAACCTGACGTCTATAGCACTGTTTTTTCACACTTGTCTATAACACAGCATGACCCCATTTATCTCCTGAGGTAGACCCTGAGGTCTGTCAGAGTCCAAGGCCCTGAAGGCAAGACTGAGAAATATATGGTAAAAATTGAATAGCACATATACATTGTAAATAGCACATATACACTGGACACATGAATTGTTCAGAGTCTCAACACAAGCTGGAAACAAAGGAATCATGACGAATACTCTCAAGTTATATAAACATATTTCAAGGAACATGTCAGAAAAACATATTTGAAGCCCATAACATTTCCTTATGAAAAATGAGTGATAATGAAAGAAGCAGCAGTAAGACTACATAATTAGAACACCACTTCTGGTGAGATCAGAAAAACTGGACAAAAGTACAAAAAAATGCAGAGAAGCAAGTTTTGCATTTCCCCGTGCTTACCCCTAGGTATATCTGATTTCAGAAAGGGATAATGAGCTGAAAAACTGAGTACAGACACCCTGCCTTTTGAGGTAAAAGGAAAAGCAACTTAAATCCATGTAAAACTCCAATGCTTGGTTGAAACTCTGAGGAGCCATATACTGAGACCAAGGATAAACTGAATGTAGACTGGGATAAAATCTGTTGTTAAATTACATCAAAACGGATTAAAGTGATTTTGGAATTCTAGCACCCCTAACTGCCTGCCAGAAGCAAGCTTTAATCCTCTCTGGAGATATGGAACATCATTCAAAAAGCGAGATTATTTCTGTGATCTCACTTTTCAATAATAACCAGATACATTAGGAGAAAACATAACATGACAGAAATGAAAGAGAAAAAAAGAGAAAACAGAATAAGACCCAAAGTGGATCCAGATTATGGAATTATTAGAGGCAGACTTAAAAATAACTATGCTGAATATGTTCAAAGATATGAAAAAACAATGAGAACTTTGGAAAAGAACATGAAACTTAAAAAAGAAAAAGGAAGCTGTAAAATAAAACAAAAAAAATACATAATAACTGGAATTAGGACATCAGTAATGAATTTACCAGAAGATGAGACATAGTTGAAGAGAGAATAAAATATACAATTACTGAGAATTTTCTAAAACTGATGAAAAATATAAAACCATAGGTTTCAAGTTGTCCTATAAACACCAACCAGAATAAGAAACAAAAACAAAATCCCACACTTAAGTCATAATTAGGCAAAACTAGGAAAAACTTAAGAAAAAACAAAATCATAACAGCCAATATCAAACAAAGGCAGATTACAGTTAAACCAACAGCAAATAAAACTGTAAGCTAACTTCTCAACATTAATAGTGGAAGGCACAGAACAACTGAATGCCATTTCAAAGCCTTCAAAGAAGATAGCTGACAACCAAAAATTCTCTAAAAATGAAGTAAAGGCATTTTCAGATAAACAAACATTAAAAGATATTCATCACCAGCAAACCAGCACTTAAGAATAATACTAAACAGTGTTCTACAAGGCCAAAAAACTATGCCCAGCAATATGGAAGCTCTGAAATGCAAGAATGAATAAAAAATAGTAGTAACAACAACAAAAGTAAATATACAGGCAAGGTTAAATACTTTATTAAGCAACAATATCTTCTGGGAGTTAAAAGCACAGCAACAACTGCAAGAAAATCAGGAGATGAGCAAATGGAATTGTTCTTTTTTTTTTTTGAGATGGAGTCTCGCTCTGTTGCCCAGGCTGGAGGGTAGTGGCGCCATCTCAGTTCACTGCAAGTTCTGCCTTCTGGGCTCCTGCCATTCTCCCACCTCAGCCTCCCAAGTAGCTGGGACTACAGGCGCCTGCCACCAGGCCCGGCTAATTTTTTGTATTTTTAGTATAGACAGGGTTTTACTGTGTTAGCCAGGATGGTCTTGATCTCCTGACCTCGTGATCCACCTGCTCCGGTCTCCCAAAGTGCTGGGATTACAAGCGTGAGCCACTGTGTCCAGCCGAGCAAATGGAATTTAAGTGGTCTAAGTTCCTTGCATTATCTGATACAGAAAAAAGTACTAATAAATATTAAACTAATTAACAAATATGTATGGTATGACATCTAATTCAACACTAGAAAAATGGTAAAATAGTGTATAGTTACCAAGTTAATAGAATAGGAAAAATATACACAAAAATCAATTCAGGTAGACTTTAGATAAACCATATGGTAAAACATCAATAAATAATGTTTTCATACCTTCATGTAGAAATGTCATATCTTTCTTGACAACAGGGAAGAGTGGAATAATTGGAGGCTGCATACTTTGACTACTAAGAATATTTCTATACTTGGCCATGTTTCTAGATGGATCAAAAATGTCTTGTAGATCTTGAAGATGTTTCTCATATTTGCTTGGTAACTTTTCCCAAGTACCTCTGAGTCGTGCTACAGATGCCAGGTTCAAGCCACTGCCAAAGATGAGAAAAGAAACATTAAAAAGAAACTTGGGGGGAGGGGTGGACTCAGGTCAGTATACACACCATTTTCTCTAATAAAACTAAAAATAAGGAGGGACATATTTTAATATATTGAAATAAACAGAGAAAAACTATGAAAAAAATAAATAAGAGACTCCTTGATCTTACAAGAACTTCTTTCGGAGGAACTATAATGTTTGCCTATAGTTGTACACCTACATAGCATTTATTTTACAGTTTAAGTGACAGAATAATACCACAAAATAGACATTTAACTTAAAAAAAAAACTTCAAGCATCACAATGTTGCTTCTTTTACTTAGAAATAAGTTTATGGAGACATTAACTATTTTAAAGCAGTTTAAGTAATGCTGAGAACAACCGCTAAATAATAATGGGGGCTAATTCTGCACCTTAGGAAGCCTTTTTTCCTCTGTGATTTTGTTCACTCACGTCCCTGATTCCAATACATCCATATTCCTAGGTTCTAATTCTGTTCACTAAGCCTCTAGACATTCAATGTCTCCCTTCAACAGGATTTTAAATAGGTTCACATATTCCCTAACTTGAAAACATAATTCATGCCAATTAGGCTGCAAGTCTTTGTGAATTCTTTACCTCTACAGTACCATCACATAGGCAGGTTGCCAAATGAATAGTGTATATACAATGTCTCAATTTTCTCATCAGCAAATCCTGTTTCTCCCCATCTCACTTTTACCCACACCACTGGGTATAAAATGTTCTCCCGATTTCTGACTTTCAGGCATGGAGTTAGGTATCTTTGTTTCCTTTTGCTTCTCAGAAATCACCCCAAACCACTATAAGAAGGTTGAGCAACCAAGACAAATTTCATATCCACCAAAACTAAGAGACACCAAACTCCTAAACACACTAGAAACGTTGCCAAAAAATAGTCGAGGTCAAACACGAGTAAGCAAAGCTGATGAAAAATAATGTCTGCAGCTGAAGATATCAATGAAAGCTGACAAACAGTTCTCCAGAGCAGAACTCTTTCTGCCCTGAGGGTAAAAACAACAATCTTTTATTTTATTTATTTATTTGAGACAGAGTCTTGCTCTGTTGCCCAGGCTGGAGTGCGGTGGTGCGATCTCAGCTCACTGCTACCTCCGCCTCCCAGGGTCAAGTGATTCTTGTGCATCAGCCTCCTGAGTAGCTGGAATTACAGGAATTACAGGTGTGCGCCACAATGCCTGGCTAATTTTTTATATTTTTAGTAGAGACAAGGTTTCACCATGTTGGCCAGGCTGGTCTTGAACTCCTGAGCTCAAGTAATCTGCCTGCCTTAGCCTCCCAAAGTGCTGAGATTACAGGCATGAGCCACCATGCCCAGCCAACAATCCTTTATTTGGCATAGCACACAGTGATACACTTTGGTACAAATCTGTTTGAGACAGGAGAGAAGGCAGAAACTCTGAGTTGTAAGCAACCCTAATGCTACCACAATCTCCATTTACTAAGAAAAAGTAAAGGATAAAACAATTAACATACAAGGCTAACTCCTGCTACTGCGGAATACTGCTGCACAGATCCACTTACATGCAGATATTTTTCAGTAAACTCAGTCACCCCTCCATATCTGAGTGTTCCACATTCACAACCAAATGTGGATCAAACATACAGTTTCCTTGGATGTGAAACCTGATAATACAGAGGGCTGACTTTTTGTATCCTCAAGTTCCTCAGGGTCAAATGCAGGACTTGAGTATGTGAGGATTTTGCTATTTGTGAGAAACCATGGAACAAATGTCCCACAGACACTGAGGAACAATGGTATCATTTAATATGAAGCACCAGCAGATGAAAATAGACAAAATAGAGAAACAGCTATTAATAAATGGAATGAGAGACGTAAAGTTATCATTAGTCAAGGAAAATTAGATTGCTTAACTCAAAACTCCCAAAATATTAACTGAAAAGTATTAGAAGCATGAAGAATGCAGTAAGGTACTAGGTACAACATTGATATTCATAAGCATTAGAATACTCAGGCAGAAACAGAAAACTTAAGGATCCCATTCATAATATAAAGATCCCATTCACAACAGCGATAAAAGATATTAAACATTCAAACAAATGTTCAAGATTTACATGAACACCATTATAAAAATTGATACGGTTTGGTTCTGTGTCCCCACCCAAATTTCATGTGGAATTTTAATCCCTACATGTCAGGGGAAGGACACGGTGGGAGGTGACTGGGTCATGGGGGCAGATTTCCCCTATACTGTTCTCATGATAATCAGTGAGTTCTCAAGAGATCTGATGGTTTAGAAGTGTGGCACTTTCCCCCTCGCTCTCTCTCTCTGCTGCCGTGTAAGACATGCCATGTTTGCCCTTCGCCTTCCACCATGGTAGTAAGTTTCCTGAGGCCTCCCCAGACATGGGGAACTGTGAGTCAATTAAACCTCTTTTCTTTATAAATTACCAGTCTCAGGTATTTCTATATAGCCGTGTGAAAACAGACTAATAAAACAACTCCACAGAGGAAATAAAAGAAAACTGAAACAAGTGGAATAAGTGTTCTTGGATGGCAAGAGCCATTGTACAAAGCTATCAAATGTCCACTAAATTAATCTAGGTATTTAATGTAACCTCAATGAAAACATCAACAAAACTTTTATTTTTTATTTTTATTTTTATTTATTTTTTTTGAGACAGAGTCTTGCTCTGTCACCCAGGCTGGAGTGCAGTGGCATGATCTCGGCTCACTGCAACCTCCACGTCCTGGGTTCAAGCGATTCTCCTGCTTCAGCCTCCTGAGTAGCTGGGATTACAAGCATGTGCCCCCACACTCGGCTAATTTTTTTGTATTTTTAGTAGAGACAGGGTTTCACCATGTTGGTCAGGCTGGTCTAGAACTCCTGAACTTGTGATCTGCCTGCGTTGGCTGCCCAAAGTGGGATTACAGGTGTGAGCCACTGCGCCCAGACATCAACAAAACTTTTTAAAAGAACTACATAAATTGATTTTAAAGTTGATATGAAACAAATAAACATGCCAGAAATAGCCAAAGAAAAGTATGAAGAGAGTCATGAGGGGTTTGACTAGCCCTACCAGACCTTAAAACCTACTTTACCACTTCAGCAATCAAAACAGCAAATAAATAGACAAATCAATGAAGCAAAGAGCAGAGACATAAACCCAAATATGTATTAGATTTCAATACATAATAGATGGCATTGCATATTTTAGAAAAAAAGATTAATGATGTTGGGTGAAGAAGTCATTTGGAACAAAGAAAGATATATTTCCTTATCCCACTGTTTATAGAAAAATGAATTCACGATTAATAAAAAATGTCATCTAGGGTGTTCTAAGAGCTCTCAATGTATTAGCTCATTGAATATTCTTAACCCTATGAGGTAGGAACTACCAGGATTTCCCATTTGACAAACGAGGAAACTCAGTTCACACAGTCAGCAAGTGCCAACACTGGATTCAGACCTAGGCAATTCTGTGTTCTTCACTAACCACAAAAAGTAGAAACTCCAGGAGGAAATAAAAATAATACATCTACATAAAAATAAAAAAATTTCTACATGGCAAAAGTAAACACCACGCACTGTTTTAAATAGCCAGAGGCTGGAAATTTAGAAATATCCATAAAGTGTACTCCACAATACAAAGGAGTACTTTGCAGTTGTTTAAAAAAAAAATGCGACAACTGTATAAGTACTGATTTAAAATAATCTCCAAGATAAATTAAACAAAATAAGCCAAAGTAGTTCTAAATATACATTTATATGCTTGCTATATGCACAGAGTATTTCTTGAATGAAAAAAGGTAACAGTATCTCTGGGGAGAGGAATTTTGCTAGATTAGGGACTGAGTGAGAGAGTTACTTTCACTGTGTACTCTTTTAGTATCTTTAAAGTTTTTTCCATGTACATGTCATGTCTATTCAAAAAGTTAAAATTATTTTATAATTATAAAAAGTTATTAATTATAGCCAGAGCAGAATGATTCACCTTTGCCATCTTGCTGAAAAGAGTATATACTTTGATCTGCCTGAATATGAAGTACAAGAATACAAAGCAATGATCTTAAAAAGAATACAAAAGAAACAAAGCAATGATCTTTACATGAGCTATGAAAATGTGCAGAACAAATATTCTTTGTAACAAAACAAATCTCTTAACCAAACAAAGCCTCTTAACCAAATCTCAGCCCTTTCCTATCCACCCCCTTCTTTGGGCTACTGTTCATCACATCTCTCAAATCACTCTCTTTTGTTGGCTTTGATGACACTATCATAACTGTGCTACCCTATTTCTTGTATTGATCATCCATCTCTTTGGCTAGACTCTTTTTCTTTACCCTCACACTGAGTCATCATACTAAGGTATGGTTTTTAGACCTCTAACACTTCCTTTCTATCCTCTTTTCTATACAGAGATCTGTTCTCTCAGTGTCAATCACTTTTCTTCATAGTGGACTCTAAAACTCAGTCCGTAATTTTCAAATTCTTTACTTGATGCTTCCTTTACAAACAGGTTCAATTTCTAGCCTTCCAAGTGTTTATCAGTGGCATCTTTATTCCCCTGTTTTAGACCTAGCTGTTTAAAAACTGTGATATAGGTGGTATAATCCCTGCATTTTACAGATAAGAAAACCTATCTTCAGTTTTCCACTGACACACCGCTACTATATGGGAGAGGCAGGATTCAAATACAGGTGCAGCTGATTCTAAAGATCACTCTGTTAATCTCTATTCAATACTCCTAGAGTGTTCAGTTCAACTGTAGCCACTGGTTAATTTAATAAAGGCACATCCTATTCCCATGACACAGTCATGATTAAAGAGTCCCTATAGAGATTCTACTTTTTAATCTTACATGAGGAGTAGAAACAAATAATCATAAATTCTGTGGGAGACGTGTATAGGTAAGATTAGTTCAAGTGGAATTATGCTGCTATTTATAAGTACATCATAGACCTAACTACAACTCCTCTCCCTTTTAAAATTAAACTTGTTTTAAGAAGAATCCCTTTGTCGATCTACAGTGTGCTAAATAAAGGTCAGAAAATAAATTACCTACAATTAACTTCTCATAGTAAGTGGAGAGAAGGGAGTGGGACAGCTCACGTAATTATCTACACTTCCTGGGCTTATGAATGTCAAAACATGTTTATTATTCTAATGGCCTAACTTGCTTGAGGAATACCACATCCAGTGATACCTCAAGTAGTGCCTGGAAAACAGGAAGAGCTTACCAAATGGTTGCTATTATTATTATCAATGTTGTTGTTTCAAAATAGCAACTTTAGGTCAAAGTACTGATACCATACTGTGATTTTTCAGTGTCAAATCATAGTGAGGCAGGTACTTAAAAAACCACAGTTCAGAAGTCTAACGATAAAGACCAGCCACTGGGCACATATCCGAAGACGATATAATCACTCAAGGCGGGGGGTGGGGGGTGAGGGGAGAGAGAAAAATTAGAAGGCAATCACCCACTTTCATTTACAAAAAAGAAGAGAAAGATGAAAGAAATAAAAATAGAGGCCGGGCGTGGTGGCTCACACCTGTAATCCCAGCACTTTGGGAGGCTCACGCGGGTGGATCACGAGGTCAGGAGATTGAGACCATTCTGGCTAACACGGTGAAAACCTGTCTCTACTAAAAATACAAAAAATTAGCCGGGCGTGGTGGCAGGTGCCTGTAGTCCCAGCTACCCTGCAGGCTGAGGCAGGAGAAAGGCATGAACCCGGCAGGCGGAGCTTGACGTGAGCCAAGATGGAGCCACTGCACTCCAGCATGGGCGAAAGAGCCAGACTGTCTCAAAAAAATAAATAAATAAATAAATAAAAAGTAAAAATAGAAAAAGCCAATACCACCAGAATGGAAAATACATTAAATCTAACAACACTTCAATAAAGGCATATTAACTGAACATTTCTTTTCATAGGCATTTAATACCTAAGCAGAAAATCAGCTTCATGTAATGACAAAACCATAGAGACATTTGTACCTATTTGTACCAACTTACCTTATTATTGCAAACATGGAATTGAAGTTCTTACATTCTCGACAATGAAGTGCAATTTTAATAAAATGCTTAATAATCTTCATTCGTTTGAGCTGATTTGCTTCAGTTAAAATTTCTGAGGCAACCCAGAATGTCTCTTGGTTTACAATGTCCTCAAACCTCTTCAAGTGAGTATTTCCTGCTTTGGAATTTAACTTAAAAAGGTCATCGATGTACTCAGTCGGCTCAATATTACGAAACAAATCAAAGTCCCTCATTGACAGCTGGGTGGCCACCTCAATGGTACTGAGCTGCAGCATGGATAGCTGGCTTTCCTTAACCAGTTCTTGAGCATCTTCATCTGAACATAAGGTTTCTGTTTCCATGTTATTTTTTAAATAATACCTAAATGGAAAAATTTTTTAAAATGAATGTATTCGTAAATATGATTAAATAAGAGCACTTTTCCTCTTTTTTGTTGTTGTAAAATATCATTTTATTGTTAATAACTTTTAGCCAAAAATATTCATTTACAGGTAAAATGAAAAATTAACATTTCAAATTAGAAGAATTTTTGAGAAGTCAGTCTCTTATTCCACCAACCGGCATCTATTAAAGAGTAAATATAATGTTATATCATGAACTTAATCATTTTAGAAACTATCTGTCAGATACTATTTTAGGTACTGGCCTCGCCCTCGTAAAGCTTTTATTTTACTGTTTTATCTGACAGATGGTTGGTACTATGTAAGTATTTGTTGATGAACAGCATGAATTCTAATTAAGGCAGAATAAATTCCTGAATCAAGATGGTTAAAAATCTCTATTCAGAAGTTACTGCATTCATTTCCTTTTTAAATAAATTTCCAAGCGAAGCAAGAAGAATGAAATCTACAAAGGAGGGGAAACACTTCCACTAATGGTTTCTCCCTTGTTAAACACAAAACCTCATTCCAGCAAGTAGCACTGATCAGTAACCATACATTAAGAACTATATTTTGCTTTCTTCTCTTTAGATAAACAATTCTACAGCACTTAAAAGCTAAGAGACAGGAAACATCTTGTGCAGGGATGTTACTAAGGAAAAGAGGTAATGTATCACATGCTTTTACTTCATTCTTTTCTAATAATCCAACTTGATTTAAGCCTAAGTTTGTATTCATCTATCTGTCTATTTTTTACTGTCAAGAAACTCTTTTTTCTGTTTTTAGACTGTTCATACGCCTAAGACAATGCCATAAAAAATAGTGTTGAAACTCATTACGCTATATGTGATAATGTTGATAAGGTATGGTAGACTTAGTAACTCACTTAATCCTTACAACATTCCCATGAAGTATATTCTATTATTATTATCCTCATTTTATGGATGAGGAAATTCAGGCAGAGAAGCTACATAACTTGCTCAAGGTCACATAGCCAGAGCTGGGATTTGAATGTGGGCAGTCTGAATCCAGGGTCTATGTTCTTAACCACTACGTATAGCCAGCAAAACAGAGTTAACTCATTCTCATTTCACAGCAACCATGGCATGCAGTCACTGTGAGCTTTCTGAGGATCTTGTTCTACATATGAAACTGGGTTACCAAAAAGATTATTCTCAGAGCGGTTGGGCACAGTGGATCACGCTTGTAATGCCAGCACTTTGGGAGGCGAGGCAGGCAGATCACTTGAGGTAAGGAGTTTGAGACCAGCCTGGCCAACATGGTGAAACCTCATCTCTACTAAAAACACAAAAATTAGCCAGGCATGGTGGCATGTGCCTGTAGTCCCAGGTACTCAGAAGGCTGAGGCAGGAGAACCGCTTGAACCTGGGAGGTGGAGGTTGCAGTGAGCTGAGATCACGCCACTGCACTCCAGCCTGGGCGACAGAGGGAGACTCCATCTCAAAAAAAAAAAAAAAAAAAAAAAAGATTATTCTCAGAGAAAATTACCAGAGTAAGGAACAAATGTACTACAGAAATAATCTAGTTTATTAAATAATTTTCAGAATACATTTTAAAAATTTTAAAATTTTCCTGCATATTCATAAAAGGAAAACTACTTAGAAAAAGAACTGTGAAAACCATGGCTTCTTTTGCCAAAGTACATACCGGCCACATTAAAAATACAGTCATTCAGATATATATGAAGATCTGCATCATTCAGTTTCCTCTATAAAAAACAGGAACTAGATTATATCAGTGGTTCTAAGAGTTTATTTTAGCAGGAGTGATAAGATATTTTATCAAGCTGTCTTCTAGAGTGAATTTAGCAGCACTAAAACATGATGATGTTTCTACTTACAACATCTGTTTTAACAGGAAATCGTCAAAAGCATATCTACAAATAAGCACATCCACTAATAAGCTTATTCACCTTCCATTGAGTTGAATTCTATCAGCTAATTTGGAGAACTGATCTGGAAGTCTTCTCTGTTTTATGACACCCTCAGGAGTAACAGAAACTTCACAGAGAGAGTATGTGTCGGATGCACCGGTCAAACCAAATTCATGAACGGCATGACAAACTACTTCTTTAGCTGTAGTGTCTTTACTGATGATAATGTAGCAACTTTGCTGATCCACTTTGAAAACTCTTATAACTTGATCAGGAATATCTACATAAATAGAAAGATATGCCTTGTTATTTAAAAATTACTTTTAAACCCTTCAAAAAGCAATGTGAAACACAATAATCCCTCTGAACACTGAAATATACATTTCTATTTCACAATATTAACAGAAGTCACTGTTGCATTTATTGATAAATATATCTATTTTTTTTTTTCAGATAACAAATCATTGATAGAAAAACCCAAAGACAAACCTTGTGCTCATACTATATATATGATTTGGAAGCCAGAATTTTTTTCACTGAATAGCTTATAAAACATTTTAATGTCATTATATGCTTCTACAAAACTCTTTTTAATGAAGACATAGTACTCCATAATATATATTTTATATATTTCAATTATCCAAACCCTTAATGACATTTAGATTGCTTACCACTTTCTATTATTATAAATGACATGATATGCCCGTTACCCTCTGTCAAAAGTAAGTAAGCCTCTGCAGGCAATCTAATTACTTCCTCAGTGAAAATTCTCAAAAACAGAACTCCTGAGTTAGAAGGTATACATATTTTTAAGGTTTCTGAAACATACTGCCAAACTGTTCTCCACAGAGGTTATCATATTTTATAATTCTAGAGTGTAAGGGAACAAATTTGGTCACATCCTTAAAAAAACTGAGTATTAATGTTCTGTTTTGCTTTCCCATTTCATAAACCCTATTCTTTTCCTCCCTCTAAAAATAATACCATTATTTTTTCATTTCTTTGGTTACTGGTAAGACTGAGTAACTGATAATGGTTTAATGAACCATTATTTATTTTTAAAAATACTTTTTAGTATCCTTTATGTTTTTTTCCTAATGTACTGTAGTAGATAACAACACTTAGTCAACTATGAAGTGGAAAATGCTTAGTTTCTATATTTTATTTATTTTTAACACAGGAAAATTTTAAATGTTCACCTGGCAAAATCTTAGTCTTTGCCCTTGTAATTTCTGCTCTTAGTAGAAAAATTTGAGACAATGTTTATATGACAAGCACATGTAGATAATAATATTCCACCCCCCCTTGTTCTATCTTATTTCTTTTTGTCATTATAGAACTCTGGACCAATGTTCAACATGATAAGCTTATATTTAATATAATTAAATGTAAGTGAAAAGTGACTTTATAGCATGAACAAATGCTAAAAATTTTCCCAATGACAATAAATTACTGTTGCAAAAGTTTCCTTTTTTAAAAATTAGGAATACAGGCTGGGCATGACTCACACCTATAATCCCAGGACTTTGGGAAGCCGAGACTGGAGGATCACTTGAACCCAGGAGTTTGAGACCAGCCTAGATATATAGCAAGACTTTGTCTCTACAGAAACTTTTTAAAAATTAGCTGGCTGTGGTGGCACATTCTTGTAGTTCCAGCTACTTGGGAGGCAGAAGTGGGAGAATCACTTGAGCCTGGGAGGTTGAAGCTGCAGTGAACTGAGATCATGCCACTGCACTCCACTCTGAGTAACAGAGCAAGACCCAGTCTCAAAAGAGAAAAAAAATTAGGGAATATATATTACTGGGGCTTTTTTGTATGTGTGTGATGACTGCAGTGGGGGCAGGGTGGAAGATTTTGGGGGCTCAAGTAATTATACAGTTTGTCCAGCATCACCTTCTTAGCATCATGGACACTGTTAACCTTTAGAGGAAAAAAAAAATTACAAATTTATCTCAGAATGTCCTGAGGTATAATCCCTGGTATAAAAGGGAGAAATGGAACAGATACAGATATGGCAGGAAATATTTTCATAAAATAATTTTTTTGGTCCTCTTGAGACTGAGGACCAAGAAAAAAGACTTGCTCTGAGGACTGAAAGATTCAACTGAATATACATGAATATAATTCCAGGGACAAGGGGTCTTAGCCAACATATGTTGAATGTTCTGGGTCCTGTCAAGTTGAAAGTAGAATACTTCATCCACTCAGGTTCCTTCTGTAACAAGGATGCATCAAACTCTCTTTCCTCAATGTATTAAGAAATCTGAGTTATCACATGCACCTTGTTCAGATTTCATTCTGATGAGCCAATCCTTAGTAGGCTGCTGACATCATCAGGTTTTTAAACCTACAAGGTGGGACTGTTTCAAGATTCACCAAAATCAGAGATACTTCTTGAAAGGGTTTGGCTGTGTCCCCAACCAAATCTCATCTTGAATTGTTAACTCCCACAATTCCCACATGTCATGGGAGGGAGCCAGTGGAAGGTAACTGAATCATGGGGGCGAGTCTTTCTAATGCTATTCTCACAATAGTGAATAAGTCTCACAAGATCTGATGGTTTTAAAAAGAGGAGTTCCCCTGCACAAACTCTCTTTGCCTGTTGTCATCCAAGATGTGACTTGCTCCTCCTTGCTTTCTGCCATGATTGTGAGGCTTCCCCAGCCACGTGGAACCGTTAAGTGCATTAAACCTCTTTCCTTTGTAAATTGCCCAGTCGTGGGTATACCTTTATCAGCAGCGTGAAAATGGACTAATAACTTCTCTACCCAGTGCTAGAAGATTATTGCAAACAAATGGACATTTCAATTTGCCATGAGAAATATACTAAACAAATGGGTTTCCACTATCTTTTTAAGTCCATGAAAAAGGAACAAACAATATACTGTTATTACCTGTACTGTTGCTACTCTCTTCATAAAAGTAGGTCCCAGCCATCCTGGGCTTCAGAATTGAATCATTTTACTAGATCTTTGGGGGCTGAGCCTTAGCCAGTGGTACTGACTGACCTTGAAGGAATGGGGAGATGTTCTGATACCTTTTATTACTTTCTTCAGAGAAATTTATTCACAAAGACAGGGTGAGAATTTGTACACATTTCATGTTCTCTTCCCTTGCTGCCAATATATTGTAACATCTTCTGGGAAGGAGCACACGATTGTGTATCTTGCTGCATAGTGTTAAAAAGTCATACTTTGTTAAAGTGATTTGTCCATGTGAAGGACAAATTGTTACATGATCACATAAGAGTGATTCAGGTATCACAAATGGATACCTTTAGAACAGATTCATAAATGGGATTATCTAAAGGGTATCCCTTAATCCAAACTCTGATGAAACTGCCAAGGTAACAAATGTCAACTTGGAAAAGTGATGAAGAGCCATCAGAGGAAAAACTTTCTCTGCGTTAATATTAATGACAGTGTAAACCTCTATTTTAGAATTGTTACATATATATAATACTCTTTACAAACATGTTTCTTGTTAATAGGAAAACAACATACATGCCAAGTACAATATTTGGCATGCAGCACTCAAATGTTAATCGCTTAGATGAATGGTCAATATGTTCCAATAAAGTTGAATCAAAAGGGAAAAAAATGATCCAATCATTTCAAATTTTAGGCACAAAGCTAAAATGCACACAAAAATACAGTACAATTTTAAAAGCAAAACAGACATTTAAAAAGAATCTTGGAAGCCAGGGGCGGTAGTTCATGCTTATAATTCTAGCACTTTGGGGGGCTGAGGTGAGCAGACCACTTGAGCCCAGGAGATCAAAACCAGCCTGGGGAACATGGAGAAGCCCCGTCTCCACAAAAATTACAAATGTTATCTGGGCATGGTGGTGTGTGCCTATGGGCCCAGCTACTCGGGAGTCTGAGGTGGGAGGATCACTTGAGCCCAGGAGGTAGAGGTTGCAGTGAGCCGAGATTACACTACTGCAGTCCAGCCTGGGTGACACAGAGAGACTCTGTCAAAAAAAAAAATCTTGGAGGATCAAGATTCATATTTCATATTTAGAAATCTTATGTAATAGGTAAATAAATTTAATAGAAACCTCAGATATCTAGACTTTCAGCCATAGATGAAATTTCTAGAGAGCTAACTTATAAATCTTATAGCAGTAAAATTAAAAAACGAATACTTGAAGGATGTACGTACTGACTCTGAGATTACACTAAAAATGGGAGAACTTTTAGGTATTTAAGATGATCTTTAAAAAAAAAAAGACTGACTTTTCATTCTGCTTTAAATTGTTAATTGCTGAATAAATATTTATGAAGTGCCTGTTATGTGTCAACAGGGTTCCAGGTGATGAAGATACAGTGGTAAGTGAGATACATAAAGCCTCTACTCTCAGGGAATTTACTTACATTCAAGTGAGTAAACATGAGCTCAAGGACAGACAAGACATCAAGTAAGGAAGAAAATTCATATAGTGAAAAGCACCACACAAAAAAACAAAGGGTAGTGGTATACTAAGGATTGAAAAAATTGTTCTGTAAAGAGCCAGATAGTAAACATTTTAAGTTTTGCAGGTCAAGGGGCAAAACACGTATTTTTTAGGCACGTATATAATAAGACAACAAATTCCCACAAAATAGTTTTTCAAAACTCAAAATATAATAATGCATACATAAAACAGGTAAAGATATGTGAACACAAAGATTAGACAATATTATAAGTGTCTACTAACAGGGACTGGTCAAAAAAATTGTTAGCTGTTTAAAAATTTGTGGTAGAACACCACATCTTGAAACAGAAAAGTATTCAAAGGTATATTGCTAAAGTGAAACGGTTAAGTGGAAGAAAAGTAAAACATCTCATATGGGGTGCAAGCAATGGCACACACATTTTATGTGCAATGAAATTTCTGGAAGGATATATAATTAAATTAAGAACTAAATTCTGGGGGAGTGGTGACTTTTATATTCTATCTTATCCTGGCAGTTTAATTTTTTAAAAGCTATGATTGTGTTCCTTTATAATGAAAAACTAATAAAAATAAGAAATTTTCAATGAAGAAAAGTTTACTATATGAAATAAATCAAATAAGGGTTCATGCTATTAAGTGAAAAGAAGTAAGCTGTAAGTTCTACATGCAGATCTAGAAAAAAAAAATTCCTTTTTGAATTCCTTTTAGCCACACTCCTAATTTTTTTTTTTTTTTTTTTTTTTTTGAGGCGAAGCCTGGCTCTCTTGCCCAGGCTGGAGTGCAGTGGCCAGATCTCAGCTCACTGCAAGCTCCGCCTCCTGGGTTCACGCCATTCTCCTGCCTCAGCCTCCCAAGTAGCTGGGACTACAGGCGCCCGCCACCTCGCCCGGCTAGTTTTTTGTATTTTTTAGTAGAGACAGGGTTTCACTGTGTTAGCCAGGATGGTCTCGATCTCCTGACCTCGTGATCCGCCCGCCTCGGCCTCCCAAAGTGCTGGGATTACAGGCTTGAGCCACTTACGACTCATCTTGTATTGAGTCAGAAATCCCAAAGAACATTTCAGAAGTTACAGAATAGCATGTATACTGATTCTATCCAAACATAAAAACATACATATATTTTAAAAAATGACTAAAAGGATACATGCCAGTTAACACTGGCTACCTTCTAAGTGGAAAGAAAAGTTCTGCTTACTACTTCATTCAATTCTTATCATTGGACTTTTAAAAAATAACAAAATAATACATACAAACAAGGGCAACAGAATACCATAGTCTTTAAGATACTTACAATAAAAACCAACAGCTGTACGCAGCAAAAATAAAGCAAAATCAAAGTAAGCAATCAGAAACAAACTTACAGTTCTGTAGCTTTGCCCCCACTTTCATTCTGATCTAATAATAACTTTGAAAATGCAGGATAAATATAGGTAAGCTCAAGACCGATAAACATTAATCAAACTTGGCTGTTACATATGTCCTATAATATACATATGTGATGTACATGGCTCATTTAAATTTCTGAGTTGTATAAATTACATAAGAAGCTGAATTTGGAATTAACTGGGAATTGATGTTTTTTTCAATCCAAATATAAATAATATCTATCACTAGATAAAAAACCTTTCACAAAATTACATATTTGGGGGTTTAAAAATATAAGTTAAATACCTATCATATATGTGTTCACATTACTGGTACAAGCACATGCTGCAGACTGAGACATATCAGATGTTCTCTGAACAGGTTTTAAAAAGGCATCTTCATCTTTAGTCTTTTTAACATGTTCTCAAGGAGAGAATTATGTAATCAACCTGAAATCAAGTTGAGTAACACACCTTCTCTTTAGAGGTCTGAATTTCAGCTCCATGGGGACTTAGTTTCTAAAACATAGTAATTTCAACATCTTCTCTTTGTTCCCCCAGCTAAATTTCCAACTTCTCTCTCGCCTCTTCCTACAACCCTATCCCTTATTCCCTCAGCCCCACATCCTACATATACCTATGGCAAACATACAGCCATATAAACTATTAAAACTACAAATCATAAGATCGCTAATACTTGTCTTATGAAAGCATATATTTAATTTGTGCTTTGGAAGTGTGAAAACACTTTATTTTTGGATATTCTATGTAGTGTGAAAAGCACTGCTGTAGAACACACACACAGAGACATAGAAATAAATTTCCATCCTGCCACATAGCAAACAATAGGAGACTGACTCTGTGGCAGAAGGAGGTCGGTTTCCCAGATGAGGTAACACTTGAGTTCAGCACTGACAAATAAAAAGGTTCACTGGACATGCAAAGAGAGGGCCATGGGTGGCAAACACGGGCAAAGAAAGGGCATTCTGAAAGTTCATGCTATACTCAGGAAGGAGGGATGAAGTAATAATGGAGAGAGAATGACAGAACAGGAGGCTAGAAAGGGGGTCGAGGTCAGCAACACTTCTTCTTCACCCTGGTGGTGACATTTCTTTTATGTACCAAGAACTGAATCCAGTTTGCAGTTTTCTTACCTCTGTGATATCTTAGTGCTTGCTTTACCCTTTCCGGTAAATAGTTTAATTAACTTTATACCTTGGTAACAATCTTCACATTAACTTCGGATCAAATAACTGCAGTATTTTCTGTCTCATGAATGACACTTCACTAAGATAAAAATCACTACAAATGTCTTAGGAAAGTAATGACTCATTAAATCTTTGTCCTAAAAAGAACACTGGTAGCTATGTAGAGAGTGTGATGTGTCAGAACATGTTATTGGGTTTAATAGTCTCTCTAGTGGTTAAGTGGCAACTGAAATATAAAGGAAGAAACCATGTGCAGAATGACCTTCATTAAACTGTTACTATGTTATGTCCTGAGGTTTTTACTGAAGTTGCTATAATAAAACATGAATTTTACTACGGCACTTATATTTCCACCTAATACCAAGATGGAACTGAGTTTCCTCTCTTTTTACACTAGTTGCTAGGAACTTTAGAGTCAGAACTGAAGGTGAATCAGAACTACGCTTCTTTTGGTAGAAGCATTTTTTCTCCCACCTTTCCTTGGACTCAATTATATGTTTCAGTGCTTAATTTTATGTGCTTTGTATTGAAAACCATCTTAAATCCTTTAAGTGATGGATATATAATTATTCAAAGTTGGAGGTTTTCTTCTTTGTAACAAAATTTTAGATTATATAATTGTGACAATTTTTGCCTCAAGACATGAATAGATGCAAAAAAAAAAAATAATAACTTGACATTCCACACTGAAAGCCCAAACAACAATGAAAATTATGCTATAATGCTCTGATAACAATACATGACAAATACAACAACTTTAGCTTCAGGTGTTTGAGGAAAAATCTGCTTTTAGAAAATTACGAACACTTTTCTGACAGAAAAAGGTAAGTGAGGCCACTTAGATTAAAATAATCTGCCTTATTCTTTCCCACACCCTGAGTAAGACATATCTTGGCTGAGAAGGGTCTCTGTTTTCACTCTACTGCTTAGATTAGGATTACTAAAAGATACCTAATTCTGTGGTTAGAGGTAGTCTCTTTTTTTTTTTGAGACGGAGTCTCGCTCTGTCACCCAGGCTGGAGTACAGTGGCGCGATCTCGGCTTACTGCAAGCTCTGCATCCCAGGTTCACACCATTCTCCTGCCTCAGCCTCCAAAGTAGCTGGGACTACAGTCACCTGCCACCACGCCTGGCTAATTTTTTGAATTTTTAGTAGAGACAGTGTTTCACCGTATTAGCCAGCATGGTCTCAATCTACTGACCTCGTGATCTGCCCGCCTCAGCCTCCTAAAGTGCTGGGATTACAGGCGTGAGCCACTGCGCCCGGCCAGAGGTAGTCTCTTTTTCATGTATTTCTGTTCCATTTTAGAGGATGTACCATTCAAATTAACAGAACAAGACAATCTCCCTTTAGCTTTTTGCATCAAGTCATAATCTAGAGTTAAGAGGGCTGCAAGTAACTCTAGTATTTGCTGCACAAGGCTTAACCATCCAGTTGTTCATTTGGTACCAATATGGCAATATAAAATCACATATGAAAATTACCTGAAGGATTGGAAAAATCCAACATACTGGTGGTAGGCTGCAGGAGATCAGGGCTGCTAGATGAGAGTGTTCCAGGGATGGGCATTATAGCCAGACTATGCCTACAGTGCCTTGTTCCCACAATGCTGTCATCTTGTGATTGGCTTAGGCCTCCATCACTTCAAAAGAATGTCACATATCACTTTAAAGTATTTGAGAGTACTTAAGTAGTAAACATTTCTGTTCCCTGTGCACTAAGGCATAACAGAACCAAACCAAAGAGGTGATTTAAACAATTGAAATACTACAGCAATTTTTAAAAGACAACTGTAATGATAAAAACGGCACTAAAATTTTTAACAATTACATTAAAATAAAATCTAACTTATACATCTAAGTAATTCTACTACATCCTAATTAAATTGTCTTATTTAGTGTCTCCCAGTTTGGGTGAAGAAATGGAACCTGAGTATTTAGGGAACCCTTCAAATTTGCAAGTTTTAGTGGACACTAATGTATGCATCCAAAAATGCACAGCCACACCATAGCAAGGTGTTCTCTTTCTCTTTCCCTTTCTCCAGAAAATCTCAGTGACCCTCTAGGAAAAAGAGGGAGTCTACATTCGAACCAAAAAATATGGCAGGTAGTAGATAATAATGGGGCCAAGGTCAAGTGACAAAGTAAGAGTGGTCTTTAAACACTGGACCAGGAAAAAAATAGAATTATGAAAATTACAGTCTCTAAAGTTCATTCTAAGGGCACATTATTTCTTATTTAATCTCTCAAGTCTAATTATTTAAGCAAACAAAATATTCTTCCTTTTAAATATTTTAGAAATGTGACACAGACAACTTCTAAATCTACCTAAGAGAAAAAATAAAAACAAAGAAACAAACACCGTCACTTAGGTTTTAGATACCCCCAGATTTTAGCTTACTTTTAAGCAAAGCAGTCCTACAAAAACATAAGATAGCAGTGAAAAAAATTTCCATCAACATCAATAACCAAAAACTACTTCTAAGGGTTGTACTTATGTTAAAACCAATGCTCTGTTACTATTAATTCTTGTCTATATTTTATCAAACGCAGTATTCTGCCTAGTACTTGCTATGCATACAAACAGGAGTATCACAGAATACTTACCTATTATCATGAAAAAGATTAAGGTAGAGTATTATAAATGAATACTATGGAATACATTTAAATTATGTTAGATGTAAAATACAGGATTTTAGGTAGATTAGAAAACTATGCAAGATGGAGAGTTAAGACTGTTAAACTGCTAAAGGACTGTTAATAGTCAGACATGAAAGAGAGGGCCAGGGTATGACAGAGCTGAAGAGACAGAGAAAAGCAAAGAGACATGGAAGAAAGCAAAGATTAGTGTTTCAAGGGCAAGCTTTGATGTTAGGCAGACCTGAGCTACTAGCTGCTTGACTTCAGGCAAATTTCGTTCTTTCTAAACTTTGGTTTTCTCATCTGTAAATGTGAGCAATACTATCTCCCCCAGGAATACTGAAAAATTAGGTAATATAGGCGAATGTTTTGGTGCAAAGGAAAACAGGACTTTAAGAATGGACTGACTTACTTTTACAAAAATTAAAATGAGAACAGGGCTGGGCACGTTGGCTCACACCTTTAATCCCAGCACTTTGGGTGGCGGAAGTGGGTGAATCACCTGAGTCAGGAGTTTAAGACCAGCCTGGCCAACATGGCAAAACCCCATCTCTACTAAAAATACTAAAATTAGCCAGGAGTGGGGTGGCGCGTGCCTGTAATCCCAGCTACTCGGGAGGCTGAGGCAGAAGAATCGCTTGAACCCGGGAGGCGGAGGTTGCAGAGAGCTGAGATCATGCCATTCCACTCCAGCCTGGGCGACAGAGCAAGACTCCGTATCAAAAAATAAAAATAAAAATAATAATAATAAATAAAATAAAATAAAATAAGAATAGTATAAACCCAGAAGGGAGAATTATTTATTTTACTCAATTTATATTAAAAAGTAGAGGTAGGTCCGAGTAAAGGTACTATAGAAACAAGAAGTGCTTTCCTGGGGAGAGAATTTGATAGATAAAGCAAAGGAGATATCTCATTTGATAAATAATTTGCATTTACCCTAAATAGGCTCCTTATAATTTGGTTTGCATTCCTAAAGACCAGAGTTAAATGTTCTAAGGTTAGGTAAGAGAAAATAAGAGGAAAAAGCACTTTCAAAGGTATAAATTATATAGAAAATAAAGATTTTTTTTTTTAAAGTCTTTCTTTAATTGACTTTTGAAAACAAACACATCAATTTTTGGACACAGAGGGTGCGATAACAATCCAAGGAAGCAAACCATTAAAGAGGCTGTCCAGTCCTACTACTAATAAAGTAGAAGCAACTTTAGCAACGTTAAAAAGTTATAATTTTCTATTAAAGGGAATTAACCGCATCAGTGACTGCAGCAAGCTGGAATCACTATAGATTAAGATGTACAGAAAATACAAAAAGTCCTTGTATCTCTTACTGATGCTATTTAACATCGCTTCTGCTTTTGAATGCTCAATAGAGACAACACTGTGTAGCTATAAATACGTAAAGCTGGTTACAAAACTGTAGTAATTAAAGTGTGAGGTGCATAAATGAAAACTATACTGCTATGTACAATCCATGCTATGCCATGAATGAAACAGTATTTAGTTGGCAAAATTTCCATGCTTATTTGAAAGCTGAGTTGATAAAGCCCATTTGGCAAGTAATTGTATCATTCTTACCAAAACAGTCTCCTGAGAAGGTGATGCAATAACAGAAGCAAAATTGTTTTAAAAAATTTCTCAATACTTCCCAACACTAAATTTACTTAGGATAAAAGTACTTGGTTTCATATTATGAAACTAAAAAGGCCACATAAATATCAGCAATATGTAAATAAAAAAGAATCCCAATATTTAAAAAGCAAACAAAAAATATGTTGACAAGAAATGGGGAGGAAAAATACAATTCCTGTTAAGCAACCAAGGCAGTTTATTTCGGGGATTGTTACAATGAATAATACAGAGATGTTACTTAGGCAACTGTGATTTTAAAAACAAAATAAAAGCTGCATGATTTTAAAAAAGAAAAACAGTTTTCCTGAAATGTGAAGAATTCTTAGGTCAATAAAAACCACACTTCTGTCTTAACTTACAGATGTAATTCAAACTAGTAACATTTTTCACTTTAATTTTTAGGAACATTCTTTTAAAATTGTATCATGATTTCTTTGGGATTTTGGAATTATCTATTTTTATCTCAAGTTTTTGTTCTTTCTTTACATTCTTTCTTTTCTGTGACAACTCATCCTCTACTCTTACAGAATTGAGTGCTGCTAAAGGTAGAGAACAAGTTTCCGTTCTTGTTGCCTCTTCCAAAGAGGTCTGGCACAGAGGAGATGCTCAGAAATTGTGAAACTGAACTCATTAAACATTTTTTTCAATAAAAAAATAACAAATGTTCAAGAAGAAAACTTGTAAAACACAAAAAGAAAGCACAGAAGGGAAAAATTACCTATGAAACCATGCCTTCCAAAAACCACAATCAACATTATGATAGTTTTCCTTCTAGTCATTTTTCTGATGTATAGTACAATTTATTTAACCAATCCTTGCAGTTGGACATTTAGGGTGTTCCAATTTTGTTTTAGTATAGATAAAACAACTTATAGCATCTATATATAAATCTTCATCTAATTACTATTAGAAACAGAACTACTGAAACAAAGAATTTTGTCATTTAAAAATATTTACTAGCCGGGTGCGGTGGCTCAAACCTGTAATCCCAGCACTCTGGGAGGCTAAGGCAGGTGGATCACTTGAGGTCAGGAGTTCCAGAACAACCTGGCCAACACGGTGAAACCCTGTCTCTACTAAAATTAAAAGTTACTTATGTATTTATGTATTTATTTTTCTTTTTCAGTTGGAGTTTCACTCTGTCGCCCAGGCTTAAGTGCAGTGGCATGATCTTGGCTTGCCACAACCTCCGCCTCCCTGGGTTCAAGTGATTTCCCTGCCACAGCCTCCCGAGTAGCTGGGATTACAGGCATGTGCCACACCATGCCCAGCTAATTTTTGTAGTTCTCTTGCCTCAGCCTCCCAAGCAGCTCGGATTACAAGTGTGCGCCACTATGTCCAGCTAGTTTTTTGTATTTTTGGTAGAGATGGACTTTCACAATGTTGGTCAGGCTGGTCTCAATCTCCTGGCCTCAAGTGATCCCTCCATCTCGGCCTCCCAAAGTGCTGGGATAACAGGTGTGAGATACTGTGTCCAGCCAGAATTTTGCCACTTTTAAAGCTTTTAATAAAAAGGCATCACTTTATATTAGCACACCAGTTTAAACTTTTATAAACTTATTACATTATCAATTCTGTCCCTGACCATTCTTTTTGTCAGTCTGTGAGGAAACAAACGGTACCCAGGATTAAACTGTATATCCTGGATCACTATCAATACAGAACATCTGAGTCATGTTTTCTGCCTATTTTTCCATTGAAGTTTTAGTGATTTTTTTTTCCTATTTGATTTCTGAGGGTTCTTTATATATAAAGGATAGTATACTTTTGTGTAGCAGAAGGAATTGTCTGAATTCACTTCAACTGACTGTCAAGAAATATAAGATACATTCTCAAAAATGCAAAATGGCCAGTCTGAAAGGTAAGACAGCTCTCCCAACAAAACAGCCTCCAGAAACCTTTGACTTCCAAGATAACCTATGTTTTCTGTATTTATGTGGCTGAAATACTTTGCATTTTACTCCTTGGAAACATGTTTGGAAGGGACAGACAGGTTAATATAAACTTCTGCAGTGCAGCATTTTATTCATATTTATATTCATAACCAAGCGTTTTCTTGTTGACACAAAGCAAGACATCCAATAATCCCTTCTGAGTTTAAGTAAAACTATTTTTACCAGATAGTCCTCTTTTTTGGGTACCAATATAAAGTTATAATGCTTGAAAATATTCAACTGACTGTTCCTGGCGACCTCAGTTCTACACCTCTTGCTGCAACCAAAGACAGAATTCAGGTATAGTAACTAATTCCCACACCTCTCACCAAAGGATAATACGGAGTTGAGATACTGATTTAGCTGCCTAAAACTTGAGTATAGCTGGTTAGAATGTGATAGTAACAAGTTGAAGACAGTTATAATTATAGTGTTATCTGTCTTTGGATGATACATGTCACAACTGTGTCACTGGTCAAAATGAGACGCAGTTAATGGGAGAAAGATGTATTCCAGACAAAACCCATTAAGGTTTCTAGAAGTTGAACTCAGGGCATTACCCCCTGAGGAATTCTCCTCATGCATTCTTTTCTGCCTTCTGGATCCTCGGTTTTGTCCCTTTTCCACAGTGACTTCCAGTCATCCCCACCCGTCCCCGACCTCTTCAGTGTACGCTGGCTCCTCTAACATTCTCCTTACTCAATCCCCATTTGTGAGACCACGCATTTTCTTATAGTGTTTGCTACAGTACACTCAATATTCAAAAATTTTTGTATTTTAAAGTAATGATTTATATAAGCCACTCGACCTCAAGGATAGAATGAGTAATGAACTTTTAGAAAAAGTTCAGGGTATTTTAATCCTCTGAGTTCCAAATTAAATGAAGAGCAAATGTGTTTCCCTGGCTGGAAGTAAGAACTCAGGAAGACGAGCATTTCTGACTGGAAAATCTCTGAGATGTTTTAATTACTGAAAAAATATTTTAAAATAGCTATCACTAAAGATGAGAGCTGACACAACTCCAAGTTGCCTCCCAATTGTTAACTCTGCTATCACTGCTATATTGTGCTGTATCCACAACCCCAAATCACCAACACGGCCATCAGAGAGGTCTTCCTAAAAGAACAAATTTTATCAAATCACATGTCTTCTTACGGCTCCCAGTCATGACACGATGAAGTCTATTATCTTTAGCATAATATTCAAGGTCCCTCATAACCTACTTCTCTTGCTCCGGCTCTAGTTATATACACAGAAACACAATCTATTCAAACCTATCAAGTTTGTTCCTGCCTCCACTTATCAACCTATAATGTGAGAACTTTGCAATTTGCTTAGATTATCAACACTTGGAGGATAAGAACCTTGATCTATTTATCTTCCTGTCTCTGGCTTAGGATATAATAAACGTGTGGAGAATAAGGGTTCCTGATGTGAATTTCTCAGAGTTAAGGACTATCTCTTTTTGTTTCTATAACTATCATCTGGCAAATTACCAGGAACTTTCAGGAGGCAAATAAATATTTTCTTTTAATGTATTTTTTTGAACTTGCTTTACTTCGTTCACTGATTATTCACTGTCTTAACTTATTCAATAAATATGAACTGAGTGCCTAGTATGTGCTAAGTATTGTACTGCTCTTGATTAGAACTTTGGTAATTGCTTCAGGAAGTTGCTAATGTAATATATACTAGAGTCATCCCCCAATCATGACAATTTAGTGGTCTAATTCCATCAGTATTTTACAGACCTTAATTTACATTTAAAATCTTCAAGTATTACTAAGTTTTGGTGATATCCCATTTTGGAAATAGAAATAGGTCTGATTAAAAAGTTCAACTTTAGAATTCAAGGAGGAATAAATGGTGCTGCAAAGGAAAAATGATTAAAACAAAAACAAAAACAAAAACTGGTGAATGAGTCCCAAGATTTAAGGTGTACAATTTGTACAGATCAGGAGACTAAAATTGGACCAAAAATGTTTAAAAATAGATTTCACAAAATAAAATGAGCAGTCTTTTCCAAAATTCAAAATAATGCTATTATATAATCTGAAAGTTGTAACTTCATGAAAGTGATAGGGAGAAGTTCAAATGTATTCTTATTTAAGTACTGTTTGAAGACTTTATGATACACTAGTTATATAATAAAGAAAAACTTACCCGTCTCCCCCCACCCCAAATAAAAACTTTATAGTGAAGATGAAAATTCCTGCATGGCTAAGATTGGCATTACCTACCTAAATAGCTTTGGAGGCAAGATACTAAATCGTGTTTTATCCAAAATCTTCCTGATTTTGTTTCTTCCACCTGAAACAGTATTTGCTTTAACTTTCTTACTTCCTTTCTCCTGTGATGTCTGTTCAATATCTCCTGGCACATGCTGGATAGAATGGCGATTACTTTTTTTTTCAGCAATTTTGGGAATATGAGGAACACCAGATTTCTCTTGTTCAGTCCTAAAAAGTAACTCTTTGAACACTGTGGAAATAAAACAAATGTGTCATTTCTTTTCTTCTCTTTAGAAAAATTTTACACCAACAACAAATTTTAAGGATAAACACAGTGATTTTCCATTATTTGAACTTTCGCAGTCTCATTCAACTAAACATTGTCAAGTATTTACCCATCCTTTAGCAGCTATATCTACTTCTTTCTTTAGTTTTTATACCTGATTATACTTCTGATGTTGCCCAACACTAATACAAGGAAAGTCAGTGGGGGGAAAGGGAAAGGAAGAGGGCAGACTACAGGCAAGTCTGAAAAAAACAGATTCCTATTGAGGTAGTAAGTAATATAACACTAATCAACTAATTTTATAGAAACAGATATTTAGGTTCTATTGTATGTTATTCCTTATAATACAGCTGACCCTTGAACAACATCAGTTTGAACTATGTGGGTCCATTTATACTTGGATTTTTTTCAACCAAACATGGATTGAAAATACAGTATTCTTGGGATGCAAAAACCTGTGTATGGCTCTGAAGAACCAACTGAGAGTCTGGAATATGCACAAATTTTGGTATACATGGGGTGGAGGTCCTGTAAACAACCCTATGCATATACCGAGGGATAACTACATATGTCACTTGAGATGTGACCTCACTACTATAGTCAGGTTCAGATGTAAAATTTAGATGAGAAAAGCTTTGTTGGTCTTTATTTTTACTTTTACCAAAAAACAGTAATTTTGTTTATTTACTGATTGATTGATTTTGAGACGGAGTCTCACTCTGTCGCCCAGGATGGAGCACAGTGGCGCAATCTCAGCTCACTGCAACCTCCACCTTCCGGGTTCAAGCGATTCTACTGCCTCAGCTTCCAGAGTAGCTAGGAATACAGGCACGTATCACCACACCGGGCTAATTTTTGTATTTTTAGCAGAGGTGGGGTTTCCCCATCTTGGCCAGGTTGGTCTCAAACATCTGACCTCAGTTGATTCACCCACTTCGGCTCCCCAAAGTGCTGGGATTACAGGCATGAGCCACCATGCCTGGCCTAATTTTGGTAATTTAAATTTGGTAATATATAACGATTCCTCACGGTCACATTTATGACGCTATGTCATTTGGTAAAGCTGCTAAAAAATATCCATTTCAGTGGTCTGAACTAAACAAGTAAACAACCAATCATATCTTAGATACTGCTTTTTTTTTTTTTTTTTTTTTTTTTTGAGACAGAGTTTCGCTCTAGTTGTCCAGGCTGGAATGCAATGGTGCAATCTCGGCTCACCACAACCTTCGCCTCCTGGGTTCAAGCGGTTCTCCTGCCTTGGCCTCCCGAATAGCTGGGATTACAGACATGACACCAACATACCTGGCTAATTTTGTATTTTTAGCAGAGATGGGGTTTCTCCATGTTGGTCAGGCTGGTCTCGAACTCCTGACCTCAGGTGATCTGCCCGCCTCGGCCTCCCAAAGTGCTGGCATTACAGGCATCAGCCACCATGCCTGGCCCTTTTTTTTTTTTCTCTTTTTTTGAGAAAGGGTCTCACTCTGTTGCCCAGGCTGGAGTTCAGTGGCAAGATCACAGCTCACTGCATCCTTGGCCTTCCTGGGCTCAGGTGATCCTCCCACCTCAGCCTCTTGAGCAGCTGGGATTACAGGAGTGTGCCACCATGCCAGGTTAATTTTTGTATTTTTTTGTAGAGATGGGGTTTTGACATGTTGCCTAGGATGACCTCGAACTTCTAGGCTCAAGAGATCTGCCTGTTTCAGCCTTCCAAAGTGCTGGGATTACAGGCATAAGCCACCGTGCCTGGCCTCAGATATCTATCAAGTCTACCTAAGTCTGGTGAATTATTTCATCCTTAATGAGGGTGCAGGTACATTTGGGAAATTACTTTTTTTTTTTTTTTTTTGGAGACGGAGTCTCCCTCTGTCGCCCAGCCTGGAGTGCAGTGGCCACGGATCTCAGCTCACTGCAAGCTCCGCCTCCCGGGTTTACGCCATTCTCCTGCCTCAGCCTCCCAAGTAACTGGGACTACAGGCGCCCGCCACCTCGCCCGGCCAGTTTTTTGTATTTTTTAGTAGAGACAGGGTTTCACCGTGTTAGCCAGGATGGTCTCGATCTCTTGACCTCGTGATCCGGCGTCTCGGCCTCCCAAAGTGCTGGGATTACAGGCTTGAGCCACCGCGCCCGGCCCAAGGGAAATTACTTTTTTAGCAATCTATTTGTCTACACCAAATTTTTGCCTTGTGAGGATGGCTACATCTCCTTGGGATAAAGCAAAGATAAATCTGTATAAGGTAAATATCTAGCAGTGATGAGTCATGGCGCTGAGGAAGTCTGAATTACAGAGAAATAGTGGTTGTGTATTCTTAGAATAGAGTTAAATGTCTTCAGCTGCATGAGCTGTGGAAGCAAACACTCAGCTTATCATTAGATATAGCTTTGAGCAGTATATGCGGCACCTTTTTTTATTTTTTAAGCTATAAATTATGTAAACATGCCCACTGAAAAATCCAATCACAGAGAATTTTTCTGGAAAACAACAGAAAAGAAAAGCAAGAGTTTCCCACGAAATCAAAGAACTTACAAGTAAGACAGAAATGGATAAAGCCTTAAGAATGGATTAAAACATTTACAACTTGGTATTCACTTGTAAATAAAATCTGGACTGATGTGAGGGTTTCAACAGAAGGACGGTATCACATTACCAAAGCACAGTGCAAGTTTATGAAAAGCACATTTTTCTGCTTTCAAAATGATGGAGACTTTTTAGAAGTTACCTTCCATACAGTCTGCATGATTAAAATAAAGTAAAATATTTTTAAAATTTCACTTTATTTTAAGCCATATGGTAATAATATATATATACACACACACGCACACATGTGTGTACATATATAAATATGTACATTTATATATGAATTTTTTGGAAACAGGGTCAGGTGTCACTCTGTCGTCCAGGCTGGAGATCACAGCTCACTGCAGCCTTGACTTTATGGGCTCATGTGATCCTCCCACTTTTGCCTCCTGGGTAGCTGGGACTACAGGCATGTGCTACTGCGCCCAGCTCATTTTTTCTATTTTTGTAGAGATGTGGTCTCACTATGTTTCCTAGGCTAGTCTTGAACTCCTGGGCTCAAACGATCCTTCTGGCTCGCCCTCCCAAAGTGATGGGATTATAGGGGTGAGCCACCATGACCGGCCAATACTTTTTAAATCTAAAATTCAGACATTCATTCATTCATTCAAAAAATATTAACCTATAAATATAGGTCAGGTACTTCACTTGATGTTTGTATAATACTCCTGTTGTGGAACTTACAGTCAGTCTAAGACACATAAAACATAACCAGAGGAACTACTTAAAACAGCAGGAAAGGGCAATCTTCCTTAAGCAAGTCAGTCACCTTGGAAAAAGAAATAAAAAAGATGAGATTTTAACTAGGCAAAGAAGGAGAAGGATGAGTAATCCTAGGTAGAGAAAATCTCAAGTTCAAACTCCCTGTGGTAGAAGGAAAGTTCAAGAAAATGAAAATGACTAGAGAACAAGGTAGAGATGAGGCCAGATAACGCTACGCTAAAGTATTCAAATTTTCTGTTGGAGCAACAGGAAAACTTTGAGGGGGCAGATTTCCTTAGTAGTGTGTATATAAGGTAACTGAATTATTTTTAAAAATTGTTAAATTTGGCTGGGTGTGGTGGCTCATGCCTGTAATCCCAGCACTTTGGGAGGCTGAGGAGGGCAGATCACCGGAGGTCAGGAGTTCGGGACCAGCTTGGTCAACATGGTGAAACTCCACCTCTACTAAAAATACAAATATTAGCTGGGAATGGTGGCAGATGCCTGCAATCCCAGCTACTCCAGAGGCTGAGACAGGAGAATCGCTTGAACCTGGGAGGCGGAGGTTGCAGTGAGCCGAGGTTGAGCCATTGCACTCCAACCTGGACAACAGAGCAAGACGACTCTGCCTCAAAAAAAAAAAAAAAAAAAAAAAAAACCTGTTAAATTTCTCCACTGGACCTGAGTATGTAATTATAAGTAAAAATGTGTGGAGCTTGTAGTTTGTTTTAAAGAAGAGAAACAACTGTGTTAAATTTAAAAAAATAGGGACAAAAATGAAAGGATAACGAGCACACATAGTTACAATGCTATTAAACAGCAGCATCAGACATTGTACATAAACCAAAAGTAAAAGTGCCAAAGAATCTATAAAAGCTTAAATTTGACTACATAAAAACTAAAAATGTCTCTCTTCTTACATACATGTATATGAGTTCACAAACACAAGGAACAAAAGTTAAAACACAAACCACTTGTGGAAAATACTTTCAACTTTTCAACTCTTTAAAAAGAGTTGAAAGATACTATTTTAATTTATAAAGTGCTCAAACAAGTCAATAAAAGATGAGTAACTATAAACAGGGGCAGATGAAATTAAAAGACTTTATAGAGGCCGGGTGTGGTGGCTCAAGCCTGTAATCCCAGCACTTTGGGAGGCTGAGGTGGGTGGATCACGAAGTCAGGACATTGAGATCATCCTGGCCATCACGGTGAAACCCCGTATCTATTAAACAATACAAAAAATTAGCAGGGTGTGGTGGTGGGCACCTGTAGTCCCAGCTACTCAGGAGGCTGAGGCAGGAGAATGGTCTGAACCTGGGAGGCGGAGCTTGCAGTGAGTGGAGATTGTGCCACTGCACTCCAGCCTGGGCGACAGAGCGAGACTCCATCTCAAAAAAAAAAAAAAAGACTTCATAGAAAGTAAATGACAAAACACACAAAAAAGGTGCTCAACCTTACTTGCTATTAAATAACATATATCGAAATTTAAAAGGCTGATTATACCCACGGCAGAGGCTTTTTTTTTTGACACAAAGTCTTGCTCTGTTGCCAGGCTGGAGTGCAGTGGTGCGATCTCGGCTCACTGCAACCTCCACCTCCCAGGTTCAAGCGATTCTCCTGCCTCAGCCTCCCGAGTAGCTGGGACTACAGGTGCCCGCCACCACGCCCAGCTAATTTTTGTATT